TCCTAAACTTTCTGCTATATATGATTCTTTAAATTGGAAAAAAAAAACACTAAATGTTTTTTGTTTCTTGTAAACAGACTGGAGTTTTGGTGGAGGAATTAAATCGGGTTAGCGCTGAGAACAAGAGGCTAACTGAGATGCTAACAGTTGTGTGCGAGCACTACAACTCTTTGCAGAACAAATTCATGGAACTGGTGAGCAAGAACTGTGAAAATGAAGCTGCAACATCAAAGAAGAGAAAAGCCGAGTTTGAGGATTATACCAACATGATTGGATTTAGTGGAAACGCTGAGAGCAGCTGCAGTGATGAAGAGTCATCCAAAAGGCCCAAGGAGAGCATTAAGGCAGAGATTTCCAGGGTTTACGTGCGCACAAATCCTTCTGACCACAGCCTGGTAAGTTCCCAGAATTTTCTTGCCGGCTTATATTTTTCCAACGAAATTAATTAGCTCCAAGCAAATATTCTTATATTGATCTGTTAGTGTATTCCAGATTGTGAGAGATGGGTATCAATGGAGGAAATATGGACAAAAGGTCACAAGAGACAACCCCTCTCCCAGAGCATACTTCAAGTGCTCTTTTGCCCCAAGTTGTCCAGTTAAGAAAAAGGTGAGTCAATACTTTCTCCCTCCTAATTTTCCTTCGCAACATATATCAGATAGTGATCAGATGAATACAAACTGTTAGCTAGTCTCTTGATCAAGGAACATTAATGTTGAGAGGTACCCATATCTGATTGTTGTTTTTGCCATGTGATTGATGTTTTTTAGGTGCAAAGAAGTGCTGAAGATCCATCGATCTTGGTAGCTACTTATGAAGGAGAGCACAACCATGCACACTCTTCTCCTGCTGAATTATCACTAAGCACCAGCTATAATCCCGACCCTCGTTCAGCTCCTGTTTCTGCCCCCACCAAATGTTCAGCTCCCACTGTGACTCTCGAGTTGATGCAACCTGGACTCATGGGAGATGATACCAAAAGGCAAGTCCAACAAATCGATGCACCGGGCATCCAACAGATTGTAGCCCAACAAATGGCAGCTTCTTTGACTAGAGATCCGAATTTCGCAGCAGCACTCGCTGCAGCCATTTCAGGAAGAGTTGTAGAGCAGACTAGATTAGAAAAGTGGTGAAATTCTACACTAGAGGGAATTAGTATATAGTTCTGTACTTTTCTTGTTCAATTGAAAATGGGAGAGTGTGTCAAGTGATGTAAATAGAATCTTGAAATCTGAAAGTCAGAAAAAAGATCAGTAAAAAAGAAGGTAATTCTTTGCCAAAGTATATGAGCAGATCCAATGATTGTTAAAACTGGGCTGTTCTGCAATCCAGAAGGGAATTCTCATTCAAAGTTACATGCAAATCACACGGAAACTATGCCAAGCCAGTAAAACCTCGCAACCCAGAAATTCATATGCAAAGTCCTGAGACTAAACCACTAAACTTCAGCACAATGTCAACAGGAAAATCTTCACCTAAGATCAGAGAGAAGGGTCAGAAATTTGAGGCAAATTTTGTTTCATATGCATGGTTGAAATTATGGAAAGAAACGCATAAAATTATGCCTCTTCTGTCTTTTATATAGTCTGGCGAGCATTAAGTGGAAATTCTTGCGGCCAAGGCATAGAAAAAACTCAATATTACATGGCCCTGGATGAGAGTTTGGCTATTCCAGTACTAATGATTAGAGTCCATAGGCACACTGCTTTTCCCATAGAAATGTTCTGATAACCGTTTCTATCTGTTCATTATTCTGTTCTAAAGAGACTTCAACATGCATAATGTGGGAAGATAATTTGTTGATTATGCCGAAAAATCTGAAAATCAATTGTCATTATTTTCATGCTATTCAAACGGATGTTGTCATTACCACCAAATTTCTTAATGTCTTACCATTCCCTTTCAAATTCAAACTTTGCTGCTGTTTTCTTGTCTATTTATTGTCCCCAAGCTTAGTCAAAAGAATTTTCCTTGTCTGAAACATAATTATTCATCTCTAACCAAACCTTCAATCTTGTAATAAAGTTGATGAATATCTATGTACTGATTCATGGACAACTACGTTACACTGAAAGAAAAGAAAATCTTTCGTTGAAATGTTAATAAGTGTTGTGGATTAAAGCGGACTTAACCATGATTGAAATTAAGTTTAATTAGCAGGAGGCTTTATGTAAGAAGTGGTAAATTAAGAGCGACCCCAGTCTTAAATTCTTGTTCTTGGCTTAAATTCGTATATTTTTAATTATACTCGTACACATTTTTAATTTTAATAAAAAATTAACGACGGGAGATTTAATATCAATCACTACAAATAAGAATTATCATGACATATGATATAACTACATCTGCTATGATGTAATAAAGTCATAGAGTTACGGACAGAATATGATATTGAATCAAATGGTTATTAATTTTTTGTTAAAATTAAAAATTTATGTGAATACGGTCAAGGTTTTTGAAGATATAATTAAGGTTTAATTTATTTTGTCAAGTAGTTTGGGCCCGAAATTGGCCATCCATGATATATCGGGCCATGGGGCATTTTTCTTGGGGACCATTACCCAACTAAGAGACAAGTAGCCAAGTGGCTACCCACAAAGACTAAGAAAAAGGGCATTTGCATTTGGTGGAAGAAACAAGATTCAAGTCAAGACCACCGATTTCGTGTATGGATGGGATTCTACGTTTTATTTTAACTTTGTAGTGCTTGACTTCAATCTACCGTTGACTGAATTATTTAGAAATGTATGAACATAGGCTTCTTTTATTGATTCTTTTCATAACATAAATTTAGTCACGTTTACTCTTTCATTTTTTTTTTTACTATTTACACATGAATGGGTGATGTTGTTTTTATTGCTTTTTCTCTATCTTAATTTAATTTATTATCGTGATCATATCATAATGTCTCTCAACTATTTTATACTCTGTACAATTATTATAATTATGTTAACAGCAAGTAATTATTCTTCTCAGACTGAGAGTCTTTTTCAATGAAAACGTATCAAGATACTCTAATCGGACAAAGACGAAGACGAAGACTTACATTAAGAATATTAGAATTTGGAAACTGGTTTTAGTCCAAGATTCAGTTTGATCAAAAGAATCAAGTCACCATGGAAATTGGCTTAATTAGCAGCTGGTCTAAGACGAAACTTGAATATTTGTACTGTACATTGAGTTTGCCATTAAAAAACTATTTTAGAATCTGAATTTTGGGCCCAATATTAACCTGCATCCAATGCAAATGTTAGACTTCTCTTTCTAAAATTTCCACAAAAATATATTAAGTACATCGATACTTCCTTTGAATCAGTCATTTCCATCTTGACTTATCCTTTACTACTCGTTAACCTATAGAGTATGGGTATCCTATCAAATTCTTTGTTTAACTTATCCTCCATTTTCACTTTCACATTCTTTTAAGACTTCATGTACATATAGAGGTTGTCATAATCTTATTTGCTGAATTGTAAGAATTTCTATTCACAAATCTTACTTTAAAAATTATTGATGATCTGTTAATATAAATATACATAACGTTGATAAATGAATGTATCTTCGTTCAAAGAGTCGGATTCAAGTCTTCTTTTCTCTCGAATCAAAAAGATTAAAATTTTATTATACGTAAACAACTTGTCAAGAAAAGCAATACATGATTTCATTCTTCCTTTTCTCCTTTTTTTTTTTAATAAGAAACAAATTACACGTTATGATAGTGACCGCTAATACCTCTTTTCTTTGCTATGAAAAGTGAAAACCATGATTAAGGTTAATTAATACATATCTTTTCATAATTATAATATCTATATGTATTCAATGTATTAGTACATTAATATATATACTTTCTCTTTGTTTTCTTTAATTGGATGAATTTAATGATATATAAGCTTTCACTTTCAATAGAATAAATATATAAAAACAAAACTATTGTGACATTTAATTAATTACTCTCTAAGATGAGCTTACATTTAATTATCATGGGGAAAAAATGGACATTATTGGGTGAGATATTACTTTGTTAATGTATTAATTGATGGAAAAATAAAATAATTTTCTTGATGAACGAAACATATCTTAAATCATACAAGTGTCGATAATCAACAATTATTTTAACAAAGAAGATACATTAAGAACGAAAGTCATTTGTAAGTATATGGATCTTTTGATTCCCTGAATAATTTGTTCAAAAGCATAACAATGAAAAACTTATAAATCCCAAAAAATATATATATTAATTAGAATGATAAATATATTTGGTTGGTAAAAAAAATTTGATAGATATACATATTTGAGTTTGACTATATAATAATTGACTGTTAACATATATGTTTAGTACAACAAAGTAATCAAATGTAAAAAAAAAAATAGATATTCTTTATTTTTTTTACCTCAAAATATGTTTTTATATTAAAATTTAAAAGAAATAGTATGGATAGGAACGGTTCCCACTGACCCAGTGACAAAAAGGGGTACTCAATGTAATCTTTGCCACACGGCTTTAGCTTTTGGATTGGGAAGAAACCGTCAGCATTTAGCACTCATATCAGTGAAATTTCTGGGTTGCTTCCCACAGTCATCGATCGGCCTTCTAGATGATGTTGATAGTCTGACGTTTTGAGCTGTGGACTTCAAACGATGACGTCAGCACTAGGATTCCTGCATTCGTCAAGGTGATGATGTAATGATCGATTTGAGTTTTCTTTTATTTGAAACTGATTTTCCTGAGAAAAAATGGGGAGAGAGAAAACACTGGGAAAGACTGGAGCCCACGAATTTGGCTGCACCCAGAAACACGTCGGGACCCAAGATGTGTGAGGGACATGAGAAGCCAAGTTAAGGTTAGTGTATTGGAATGTGAAGACTGAAGACAGAGCGAAAGTAGGAAGAAAAAACAAGAAGTAAAGCTAAGACTGACTTCACGACCTTGATGTCATGCAGATTAGGATTGCATATTGGATTCGTGTATCGCGATTCTGAAATGTATTAAATACCCATGATCATGATAATTCCATGAAATCTCTCTGCTTTTTTATTTTTTCTAACACATGGCTTTGATTTCAATAATTTTCTGATGGATGAGAAAGTAAAAGGGGAGACCGAATACTCTTCCACCTTGTAGATTGTCTAGCCAGTTTTGGGAGAAAGAGAGAACCGAAAGCAGGCAGGCGGCCGTCAGTTCCCTATATCAGTCTTCTTCTTCTTCTTCTTCTACTGAGTCTTCTTTGATCTTTCATGGTGGAGGCTGCGGGGCGCGAAAAGAAGACTACCCATTATCTGCATGATAGATTATTATATTCATTAATAAATTAACAAGAAAGTTTTGTTTTTTCTTTTCCATCAACAATCTTTCTTGCTCTTGTAGTAGTCTGGTTTTCAACCTACTGTTCTCATGGATGCTCCCAACTCTAATGAAAAGAAGGTTAATATATTTGTACATAAGCTTTCTTTTCTCGTTTTCCAAAAGGAGGATTTGATACATTTGAGAGCAAAACTTTTTTTTTTCAGGTGGAAGCTCTCCAAGCGGAGGTGGAACATTTGAAGAGAGCGAACGAAGCTCTTAGATTAATGCTTGAAGCAATGAGCAGCAAGTGCAACATGCTTGAAGCCTATCTCCGAGAATCAAGCTCGCAGCCAACAGGCAGCGTCTTAACGCGGATTGGTTCATGCGATGAATACCTGAACAAGAGACCCAGACCTGAAGTTCCAGCTATGGAGAAGGCGTCACAGGTTTTTGTGAAAACGGACCCTAGGGACAAGAGCCTTGTAAGTCATGATGATGATGATCTCATCTCTTTAACGTAGCTTATTGTTTCACCTGTTAAAAGTTCTTGATTATATGTATATAATTACCTTATGATTTCTTAGATAGTTAAAGATGGATTTCAATGGAGGAAATACGGCCAGAAAGTTACTAAATATAACCCGTCGCCTCGAGCTTATTTCAGGTGCTCCGTGGCTCCTGGATGCCCTGTCAAAAAGAAGGTACTGCTAATATTTTATGCTCAGACTGCTATATTCTGAGGCATCATTCTCCGCATATACACAAATGTGTATTCATTTCATTAACAATCCCACTTAGAAAATGGAAAGCAACAGGAAAAGGGTTCCTGAGACTTGTACTTGATGAGATTTTGATTGTGATTTCTAGACTTGGAAAAGAAAAAACCTAAGGCGTTTTGTTTTCTCCTGCTAAACTGTTATACTCTTTAATACAATTCGTCATCTGGTTCTAGGTTCAGCGATGTGTGGAGGACAACTCTTTCCTTCTGGCAACATACGAAGGACAACACAACCATGATGTTCAGTCTTCACCAAAGCAGTCTTTGTCTTCCACAGAAAGCTCTGCAGTACTCTCCACGACCAGCTCTCCATACCCAGTTCTGAATAATTCTTTTCGACCGACCATCACCCTCGATCTCACTCTTTCAGGGTCCAACGTAGAAAACAGTTGGAACCCTCGAAATCTTATGCAAGAAACCAGCTGCAACGACCACGACAACAAGAGAATTGAAGACTATGTTGCGTCCTTAACAAAAGATCCTAATTTCACCGTAGCTTTAGCTGCAGCAGTTGCCCGCTCCATCAACGGACTACGACCATCAACCCCATGAACTTCAAAAACTTTAAACAAAAAAAATTGTAATTTTTAAAATGTGACGAGGGATTGAGCAAATACCAAAGGGTTTGTATCCGTACTGGAAACCAGATAAACATTTTTCTGGAAAACTGCACTTCTTGAAGATCAATGTTAAAGTGCAAGCAAGGCAGCATGCTGGCTACTTGATGTTTCCATAAACTATTATGCATCTAAAATAACATGTCTTCAAATCAGGTTAAGGTTCAGCAAAAACTTGATCAAATATTACAAATGTGAAGGTTATCTTGATAAATGATCATGATTCATACACCCTTTTTTTTTTTTTGTGGTTTTACTACTATGGTAATTAAGGATAATATCCAAAACCTACCCCAAACCGAGATGGGTACTAAAAACTTTACCTGAATCCATCCCATGACCGAATATAGGGTAATTTAAAATAGTTAGAAGGTTATTTTACAACTAGTAATCCAGTAACTAGTAATTTTGCATAGGCTGGTAGCTCCAGAGGTGCAATTGGACCCATCTTCATCCAAGATAAAAACCTGTGATTATCTAGAATGAGTTTTTCTGGAGTGCAGCTGTAGGCATTAATTACTCAAAAGACCAAAATCTCTTAAATTGATTACAATCTACAGGCCAATTAATCTTGGAAAGAAAATAGATTGGCATTAGGCAACATGGATGGAATAGACCCAAGAGATCCTCAGAGAGAGAGTGAGAGTGAGAGAAGCACAGTACAATTAGAAATGAGGGGACTTTGATCTGGATATAGATATCATATTGACATTTACATTCCTATACCTAAAAATTTACAGGAATATATATATATATATTGAAAAGAGAGCATAAAACTATTATGTACTCCTACATTTTTACAACAAAATTTTTGAGAGGTATAGTACAAGTGGCTTGAGAGGACCTAAAGAACTTCATCCATCAGCACTGCTCCAAAACCACAAGGCATGTTAAAGAATGAATTGGCAGATACAGAACTCAGCAACAACATAAATGTCCAAAACCAGAATGCAGTTAGAATAGCCTTACAATCTGAAATTGGTATTTGGCGCCACCGTGCACCACCTGCATTTTAATTTATAACTCCTTATTCTTGCTGTCAGATTATATGTGAGACATTCTTCTTCATGACAGTGATAAAAATGTTGGCAGTTGTAATTCACGCTCCAGGCTTCCAAGGGTATTCACTCCATGGAGCAAAACCGTACTTATTTCATATGGGAGAATGTCATGTTAATTAATAGGAATATGGAGCTTATGAGCGTCTATCATTGAACATTGGCACTCTTGATTGGACTTCGTATCAAGTGTTCGGACTCCTTTGGGGGAGTACTAATTTTCAGCTTCTCATTTTCTGCCTCCTTCAGTGCTTTCTTCTTTTCCAATTCAAGCTGCTTGCAGTTTTCGTCATGTGCTCGGACAAACATCCTCACAAAGTTGAGCAGGGTAGACACAACTATAGGAAAAGTTTCAGATTAATGGAAAGTCATACATCTTAACAAAATAATGTAAAAGAGCAACACTCCAAACTAAACAGCTGTGAAGCTGATATTCACACGGGTGCATGTTGGCTGATAGCAGCCCAAATCATTCGAAGTCATATCTAAACCATATCAACTTTATACAGGTGTCCACTGAAGTGACTTAAGAAAACAAAAGCAACCATCAATTACTAGATCAGGCGAGGGAAACCAGATAGGACATCATCACTCAAACTATTGCAATTGAGGATCAGTAGAAATATTTTTTCCATCAAACAAAAAGAAGAAGTTGCTAATGACCTCTCATTAATTAGACCATTACATTTCCATTCTGTCATTCACAATCTCACAATGTCCTTATTTGCTATCTTCTTAACAAACTGTTCACTGTTCTTCATCCCTATTAAATGAACCAATATCTTTCTTCCATTCTGAGTGCACTTACTCTTAATGCAGATATGCCAAGTCATTTAAATAACTATAGTCATGAATTGCAAGGTTACTGCAACAGAGAATCTGATGACTGAATTTTCTCTTCATTTCAAAACATGTACTAGAAAGAATTAAGGAGGAGCAACTAAAGAAGTCAAATAATTTTACAGTGGCAACTTTACTTACACAACAGCATATTATAAGCTGCACCGACAGTTATAAACATGAAGCATTAATTATTCAGAGAAAAGCTAAGGCATATATAACATGCATAGCTCTTCAGCTACATATATCCATGACATTCATCTCATCAAATAACAAAATGTCTAGCAAGGACCTTAGCATATTGCTTAAGTAAGAGAAGCAGGAGTGGGCAGGCCAGAGTTCAAAAACCTCCCCCTTTCGCCTTGCCCCCACTTTACTTGCATCAAAAAGAATAGTAACGAAATGTAAATGAATCAGTTCTTTTGATATACTTTACTCTCCTAGAGTGGTGCAGGGTTATCGGTGATAAGCATGAAACAAACTTGTTAAGACTAACAACTACCTTGCTCGAATGGGCAACGTGCTGGATCTTCTCCAAAATAAAGAGCCAAGGCATCTGCATTTCTACCCTGAAGACATCCAATTTAGAAATGTCTAATGAGTCTGTTATGTTACAAGCACAATGCAGATTTCTGAAGAAAAACTCATTAAAACAAGAGTTGATACACACCACACTGGAATAAAGTGAAGCCAAAGACCTGACTTCACCTTCAGCAAAACTAAGGAACTCCTTTAAGGTCTGAATGTTTAAATAAATAAAAGCATTAGTTGTTATTCAAAAAAGTATGAGGAATAAGAAAAATAAGTAGAAGGATGACAATTTATTTGAAAGTAATTATTGATCAAACGAATTATAATTCCTAAGACAAGTGATGGACTTGTTGATCAGCTGAGTGGCCATGGCACTCTTGATTGGCACCTGAACATTTTGGAGGCTGAAGAAGTTCTACCTTTGGGCACATTAGGTGTCACAATGAATGTATGATTGCTAAAATAATTTGGAAGGATGTTCACACCAGTTCATGTTGGCCTGCTATAATTGATTGTCATATCAAGAAGCTCAATGCTGAATGTTAAAGATGTCAAATAAGGCTCCTTGAGCACTTTTGACCAAAGCCTTGAACCTCAGCAAAACAACTAGTTGATATATAGGAATTACCCTGCAAAAAGTTTCAGACACGCCACCATCATTTTCTGAGGCAGTCAGTTCTTGTACAACTTTCTCCAACCCTTTACTAATTGCTTGCATTTCCTCTGCCAAACATTTCAATTGTATCTGCATGGTAATCAATAATTTAGCTTAGCAGCATATGCCAAATGCTAAGCAAATTAAATATGACCTCAAAAGGAGAATCACCTTTGTTGAAGATTCCAAAGTCACAAGGTCTTTTGGAAAATCTAGTAATTCTGGTAACTTTTCGACCAGCACCTACACAGGCCATTAGCAGAAAGTATGTATTAATATTTTCATAAAGAATAAGTTGGGGTTTACAATGGTAATCAAAGCAATATAAGCAGCTAAATTAAACAGTTTCTAACCCAGAATCTTTTGTTTTTGGAAAAAAATAAAAGAATATTTATAGAATTAATCTCTCTCTCTCTCTCTCCCCACTAGACTAGTAACATGCATTTAAAATGTAGGATAATGAGCTTCAGCAAAGAATCAACAACTTTCTATCCATCTTTTAAAAGAAACACACTCCAAAGTAGCCTGAAGCGTATTACTTGTAGAAACCACTTACAAAGAGACAATAAGCTTGCTAAGCAAGAAAGATATTGCAGACTTTCTTGCAATCCTGATTTATATTTTTTAAGTGTTAAAGTCATTATATCTCATTATTCCAAATGGAAAAACAAGGCAACATGCCATGCTTTTTTCCTGCAAAAATTGTTCATGATCTTAGCAACCTTCACATTTAGAAGTTAGTCTTTAACCAAGTTAAACCATGATGCAGGGAACATCTGCACAATTCATGCATTTTACCGTGGTCTTATCAACAACGCAGAGAAACATTCTGCCTTAAAACATAAGTGTGAAAGTGCAAGAAAATTCAAGTTATTCAGGCAAATTTGACAGCAAAATGATCTTCTACCTTACAAAGATAATGCATGAGAGTCATCTTGTTATTCCGAGCTCGTGTGTCAGTGAGTTTGAGTAGACTATCCAACCGAAAACCAATAGCAGAACCTGTGGGAGGGAAACCACAATTAAGGAAAAAGTTGGAGTGAATAGATGATTCTTCAAAAGATTGTACAGAATTGCCATCTGGGAGAAGAATGTACAAAACCAACAATACCAATTGCGGAGATGGTTCACAGAACAAAAATATCAAATTAGAGTGACCAGAAGCTCATTTCAATAAGGTTACAGATTTCTATTCTTTGCAGTTGGGAAAAGATCACAGGATTACTCGACACACACAGTGGCTGTAAAACATTGTGGCCTCAGTTAACAATAAGGAAATGGTGAGGCACCTCATTTAAACTGCAGTCACCAATAATAAAGCAGAATAACAGAAGGCAAATCTGCAGGGAGGAGATTGATCGTGTTCTTGGTTGACAAATCTACATCCTCAGAGTGGAACACAAGAAGATGACTGTAACAAAATATTTTTCACCTACTAATAAAATTACTCACCCCTTGCGGTTCCATGATTCAAAGCATTTCCCAGAGAAAGAATAGTTTGCATGATCCTTTTCAATTTGACCGAATTCCTCACCTGATCAATGCATTGGTGAAATCATACAATTGACTACATTGTTCAGCAAAAGAACAGCTTTAAGTGAAAAACCGAATGCATGCGAAAAAGAAAATTCAATTTACTTCTTCAGCTGCAGAGTTTACAATATTCAAACTCTTTCTAAGATCAGAAACCTGGAAAGGTGCAAAAAGTACCATTAGGTGACAACAATGACAACAGAAAGCATCTCATACCAATCTGATGACATAGGATCTCCTCATACCTGGGAACAGAATTGTATCTTGAATGAGAAAACTCTTAGCTTCGACTCTACTCGTGGCACTTTCATCAGTTCTAGGAAAAACTGTCACAAAATACAAGGCAGATAATCAGGTATAATACAAAATAAATTGTTAAAGAAAAGTGTATAAAACAAAGATACTGCACTAACCTGTTCACATTTTCCCAAGTTTTCCTTATCACCATTATAACCCTGAAATTAATAATATGATCATTACTTAAAACAGGATTATTGGCATAATGTACCAAATTATTTCATTCTACATGGATAGTTACGAACATAAGTACAAGGGGTCTGAAAAATCTGAAAACTACTACTTTAAGAAGACAAATTAGGAAAAGATAAGCACATATTTTCACTACCTTGAGTAATTCCATCTCTTCTTTTGTAGGACAAAATTTAATAAGGTTCTCAACCTGATCAGCATCTAATGCCGTATCGTCTAAGGCAAGGACTGAACTCTGCAACATAGTGGCAGAGAAGTAAGAATGAAAACGACCAATTGAAGAATGTTTCAGGGGCAACAATTTGCAAACTGGCGTGTGGAAAATGTAATGTTATAATTTTGGCAGTCAAGTAGCAAGGGAAAAAATAATATAATTGAAAAAAAGAAAGGAAGAAAAGTAAGAAATATCTAAGCCTAAAATATATACACAAAAACTGTTGATGAATTAAATCTTGTCATTTACTTACAGTAAAAAACCATAATACCTGTCTCCAGCACATTGAACTATGATGGAAAACCTAAACTACAATTATTAAGTAGAATGTATTTTATGAGAAATGCCATATGGTTTATCTTACCATCAAATCAGGCAAAGGAATTTTAACTTTAGTGAGCATGATTTCACAATTATATGCCCGCCTAAGCTCAATCTGCAATATCAATGAATTTCTTGTGAGATAGCAAACTCGGATTAGATGCTCCAAGATGAAGAAGTGTTTGTCAAGAAGATAAAAAGGAGGGCCAACCAAGAAAAAATATCACTTATGGAAAATCACCATCAAAACTATATGGAACAGCAGACAGGTTTAAAGGGAAAAAAATCCTTTCAGCTCTAATTAGGTATAAAAACAGGATTTACAACCTTTGGTGAGGCAATCAAGAGGAATATAATGGGCTGCAACCTGTTCAAAAAAATTAACATGCTAATTACCAGCTGTACTTTCTCAGATTTACGGCCTGAGGCACGGCGATTTGATTTCCCATCCCCGATACTATTATCTGAATTTGGTGCAGCCGCAGAGAAAAGACTCTCAAGTTCTGACATGTCAAATTCTGGAGCCCTAGCACAGATTTAGAAAAAGAACCATAGCACATCTCTATATTATTATATGAACTGATATATTTCTGTGACAAAAACAGTTATAGAAACAAGATGCATACTTGGAAGCTTCCTCAGGTTTTTGTGCCTCAGCCCATAAGCTTCCTTGCATAGCCCTTGATAACTTTAACCAATGATATGGCTTCAAGTTGGTCTTTCTGGGAGCCTGAGTTTTGGAACCTATACGTGATATGCCCCGTCCCTTCAAATTCAAAGGAGCACCAGAAGGTGGTCCAGGAATTGAAGGTATATTGCCATTACTTACTGAGTGTGACTGTGGAGAGGTACCACCTGCTTTAGATAAACCTTTGGCACAAGGAGCTGGAGGAGGTGGCACAGGCGGAACATGAGCAGCTTTGTTTGATGAAGGACCCTTCGGGGCAAGACTAGGAGGAGGGGGTGGCTGTGGCACTGAGGCTTTACTAGTAGGATCTAAGACAGGTCCAGAATGTAGGGGAGGTGGAGGTGGTGGAGGAGGTCCTGATGTCCGAGATTGTGATGGAGAAGAAATAGAGCTGGTGACTGAGGAAGCAATGGTAGGAGGTGGAGGAGGAGGAGGGGCTGGACACGAAATTTTAATGGTAGAAGATGGAGATATTCCTGAGAATGAAGGAGGTGGGGGTGGAGGAGGGGGTGACTGGAACAAGTTCTTGACTGTGGCAGATAGAGATGCACTCAAAGAGGAAGGCAGGGGAGGGGGAGGAGGAAGAGATTGTAGTGAGTTCTTGACCATAGGAGGAGATTTGCTAGAAACAGGAGGAGGGGTAGGAGGGGGACGGGGAGATTGGAGTGAGTTTGTAACCAAGGGAGATGGAGATGCCCCTGAAAATGAGGAAGGTGGAGGAGGGGGTGGGGGTGGGGGCGACCGGAACTTCTTGGCTGCAGGTGAAGGAGATACCTCCAGAGAAGAAGGGGGTAGATAAGAGGGAAATGAGGTTGAATTGGACTTCTCCATTTCCAAAGACGCTCCAGAAAGAGAAGGCAATGGAGAAGGGGGAGGAACAAATGATGACCGACCTCTAGCTAGCGATGTGGTTCCAGGTTGTTCAGTATGTGTTGCTTTTGAGGTCGCTAGAGCTGAAAGACTTGACGAAGCTTTTGTTATCAGGGGAGCTTCACTGGAAGATTGTGCACCAGGTGAAGCAGTAGCAGTAGTAATTGCAAGACTCAGCTGCAGAGGTTTAGGTGTATTTGGTAGAGGAGATGAAATAGCTGAGGAAGATAAAGGTAATGTCACAGGATGAATGCATTCTTCACTTTTAGATACAACATGATCATGCAATAGAGCTGTAATGCCAAGGGCTGAAGGTGCACTATGGTATCTTGATATTGGCACGGGTGAACCTTGCAAGGAATTGCAATATGAAACTGGAACAGAGATTGAAGACTGAGGTACTCGCTGGGATATGATCTTAGGCTGTGCAGGCCGTTGAAGAGCAACCTGAAGTTCTTGAGGTTCAATTTTCTTTCTGATTGAATTTACATCCAGGGTTGGTTTGAAAGATGATATAGATTGTGCTGGCTGTTGAAGTGCGATTTGAAGCTCTTGGGTTTCCACTTTCCTTCTAATTGAATTGGCTTCTGGGGATGTTTTACTAGACTTCTTGGAATGTTGTGGTTCTTGAGGAGCAACTCGAAGTTCATGCAATTCAGTTAGCGCCTCCATTGGGCTTGGATCTGAGGATGATTCAGAAGATGGTATAGATTGTGCAGGCTGTTGGGGAGCAACCTGGACTTCTTGGGGTTCAAACTTCTTTCTAGTTGAATTTGCATCCAAAGATGGTTTAACAGAGAATGTAGATTGTTTCTCCAAAGCAGTGGATGTTGGACTTGTGATCAGGTGTTCTGATGCCTGTACTTTTGATTTCTCCTTAACTTCATTATCATGCAAGACACTGGCTCTTTCCATACCCTTGGAGCAACCTGTCTCTGAATTTTCTTGTAGTTTATTTGATACTGAGATATGCTGAAGCATATTTGCTACATCTCTCTTTGGAGATGGCCAATCAACATTGCTGAAAATCTCTTGAACTTTAGCAAAAGCTTCCATGGGAAGACCATCTTTCTCTTCTATACCCGGCAAATCAATTGACATAACAGAAGTTGCAACATCCATCTCTGAGAAGATAACCTTCACCAACACATAAAGTAATAACTATCCAAAAACAGAACAAATTTTATACAGCACAAGACATAATCAAGGACAGAGGAAGATAAATATATACCTCTGCTCTAAAGTCCTTTGGGAATAGGTCCTTAGCATTCCATAAGATGTCAATTTCTTCACGATTAAGCATCAAAATGTTTGATCTTATAAAGGCCGTATTAAACATGACCCTGAACATCATTGATTCTCGCTCCTGATCACTATCCAAACTAATACATTCGAGCACAACATCACCCAGAACATGGCAATGGATGTCAATTTTAACTAGTTCGCAATCCACCTGCAAGAATAATGAAGAATTTGAAGATATAAATAAATAATTACAATTCAGAGAAGTGTAACTTCATTTTCAAAGTTGAATGCAAGAGAAATCACATTCTGAATGTTGATGAGGAAGAAGTAGCTCTTCGCTCAAAACAAAATGAACAAAACTAGAATAAAGAATGAAGGAAAAAGCTATTTAGACTAAAAAGAATCAGAACCACCTGCTTGTAATACCGAACAAGTTTACTCTTCTTTGGTGTAGAGAACAGAACTTTGGGAGTCCTGTCAGCAGCCATAAAAGGATCCTGTCCATATATCCTAAATATTGGTCGGCAGCCCCCCTCTCCATCCATATTTGGAATATATCTTATAATAATACAGTCTAATGTAAGGGCCCTATCTGCTGGAGGCCATTCTGAGCCCAAATTTCTCCTAGAGACGTACTGAAGATACCTTAGTTGAGAGGGTAGTGGATTCAGGGGGGACATCAACTGCAAAAGCTCACGAGGCGCTTGCTTATAGGTCATGTCTAATGTTTTCTGCTCGCCAGTGAACTGCTTCCTATATATCAAGAGAGCAGCAAGCATAAATGCCAAAACTGGCCACCCACCTTGTTCACAATGCATTAAGATCACATTTTGTTGCCCAAGTGAGAGCCAGCTTTCACTTGATCTCAAGAAGTGATGGACCATTTCCATTGTGAGTAATGGGCAACCTTCATATTGACGAGGATAGTCCATTACAGTCATATCATACTCGGACAATATGCTAGCAATCAGACTTTGGTACTCTCCTTCTCGGAAGTTAAACACCATGAATGAAGCATCAGGAAAATGATCACGGAGTTGACCCACAATGTCTCCAATGTAGATTTTATATTCATCGTCTTCCCAAATGTCCTTTGAAAAGCAGCAATCAAAAACTACAAATGTAAACAACAGAGCAATAGGTATCAGACAGGCAATGGAATAATAGTTCTCAATAATTGAAGTGCCAACCACAGATTCACAAATACTGCTAGGCATAAAAGAGATGAAGTTGCCATTTTCCATCCCTTTGTCATACTGCAGTAAGTAAAAACCACTCTTATAGGGAAAGCAAAATCTATTCTGCTTCTACGACCAGAGAGAGAGAGAGAGAGAGTTGTGTAACCTTTTCAAGTCTTTTACAGAGGACCTAAGAGGAATAAATTATAATCAAATGCATACATCATATTGAAATTAGGGCCACAAATAAGAGCATCTAAATATGTAATAAGATGATGCCTAAACTAACCCTCAGCTTATTTTTGCATATAAGCTAATGGCTTAAAGGATGAATTCTTGCTAATATGACGCAGGCACGCAGCAGGGTTACACTGCATTGATTGATTTCTGATGAAGATAGTCCACTAAAGATATACTACTTCAAAATTTAGAGGGCCCATTGACCTTGGAAAAAAATATTTACCAGAGCATCCCCAGCGATTTATACCACTAAACATGTAAGCTTCGTTTTCTCCAGAAAAAGTTCACCCAAAAGTATTGATGAACTGGAGTTGTAATACCATTGCACCTTTTACAGTCTCCAACTTAAGTATTCCAAAAAAGAAATTCCCAAGTCAGCATTAGATTTTATTCTCATTTCATTCACTTCCATTTGTACTACTATCAACTGCAGTTACATAAGTTACATTAAACATACATTTAATGACAACTTAAGTAAGAAAATACTTGTTAACAAAAATTTCAATGTTAATTCATGTCCCACAAGAACAGTCACAACCATTTGACAATGAAACCACACGGAGTGTGTATCAAATTACCATATTTCTTTAATCCCATTATTGTTTAAGATTCACAGAAGCAAACTAAATTTAAAGAAAAAATAAAAGCATACCATAAACCCTTTCAGAGATCTCCAAAAGCCCATCAGGCGGCTTTCGATAAAAAAACTTCCTAAACAACGCCATTGTCGTTCCAAGATCCAACAAAACTCAAATCAGCCCAGAAGAAAAGAAACCCACATTGAGCTAATATAGAGAGATCAGCAGCAGCAGCAGAAGAAGAAGAATGGTCCAAATGATTGCATTGGCACTCGGCAGAGGAATGGGAAATGTTGCTGCGTTCCGAAGCAACAAGTTTTCAGGAAGTGTCAGAGAGACTTAGCTTTCAATCAAGGGACGTTAAGAGATACAAGAGTTAGGTCTTGGAGAGAGAAAAGGGTGAGGAAGAAAGGAGAGAAGGGGGGGGGAGGGGGGTGAGAATATTCTATTGCAAAACAAGGTTTTGTATGGACAGAGATTTGGGAGAGGTTTGTTACTACACCAAAGCAAATAAAATATGAGAGAGAATCCAAGGATCTCAGCTTTGTCTCTGTGTTCTGTCCCTTTCCTCCTTTCGTGTCTGTCTGTTAATGGATGACGATAACGATAGCTCCCCGCTTCAGTTTCTTCATTACTCTCTCTTTTTTTCTCTTCAAATTATATAATGAATCAATACTCAAAGATTCACAGGAAATAATTTTGTTTTTGTTTGATGAATGTTGAGCCAACCATGTCCATGTGACAAAGTCAATGCAAATGATTGTTCCTACAAATTTGGAAATTATGGAATATTGTTGTTCTTTCTTTTTTTTTTGTAAAAAATATGCTCATTTTTTAAGGTTCCATCTTGTTTTTATTTGTACTCAATTATCATGTAATGTACAAAATTAAAAATATTTATTTTTTATTTTAAATTGTTAATTTTATTTATAAATAAGATAATAACATTCCCTTTCATAATAATGTATAAAATTTATATATCATTAATCTTATATCCATAAAAATTGAGATAAATTTTGAATTTATATAATCATAATTTTTTAGTTAAAATGTTGAGTTCAACGACAAGCATATTAGAGCTTACTCAACTTTTAACAAATGTGACAGTCTAATCTAAGGGATGCTAAGTTAAAACGAGTCACTGATCTAATCAAGATTGTAAAAAACAATCAAATTAAAATAAACTCATTTTTTCGAATAAAAAGTTAATACAATTAAAATATTACACAATTAAATTTTAATTTGAAAATGTGAATCCGAAAAACATACATTGAAATAATATCGAACTAATATGATAAACATTTTAAAGGCTGAGTTCGATATCTTTTATAAATGGAATGTTGTTTAATTATGCATTTAATCGAGTAGTTTTCATGGCTTAATCTTTAAAGGCGTTATCCATGCACTAAAAGGGACTTAAAAAGGTGAAAATCGTTTTGTGGGCCTAATCCTTGCTCAAGATCAAATCACCTGTGGGTTAGGTTGTTAAATCAAAGTCGCTACACATATTAACAAAAAAGTGTCATGAAATTAAAATAAAAAACAAACGTCCCACCAAAAGTAAGCCAATCATAATAAAAATTCGTATTAAGATTTTGACATATTAAATAATAGCATCATTTTTAAAACATTCAAATAAGATATCTTAATTGAATTTATGTAAATCTCGCATAAAGTTTTTTATGTAAATTAAAAATTTTTTATGGTACAAGCTTTTACGTAAAGAGAATATATTTGATACATTTATACGTTACAATAGATTGAATGATTATGGTTATAGCTTTAAAATATGATTGATAATTTGATAATTTACACATTTATTAAGAAATCATTTTCGTGTTAACTTTAATTAACCCCCACTTGAAGGGAGATTTTTATGTTAAAAAATAAAAACATGCATAAAATGTTTTGAAAGTAGTAACAAACACACAAGGAACAAGGCGCAATGGGTGGGGAAAAGGGGCCGACGTACCACTTTAATGGTTCCACCAAGCCTTGTTGAAGAAATTAAGGATTGGATGAATCCACTAGGGTTTGGTCAGACCCATCGCCTCGGAATAAAAGCCCAAATAAAGGTACCCTACCTATCTTTTTCTTTTCAACTTGTTTATTGTTCTCATTAAACTTAATTAACTCTTTAATCCTTCAAACCCCACAAAACAAAACTCGGCAAATTTAGATGCACTCTGTTAACACCACACGAGAATAATTAGACTTAAATGATTTTGAATTGAAAGTTATGGCATTTTAAATCTTAACTTGTTTAATTAATTATATTATTCTATTAATTCATATAATATGATTTAACTCATGTAAATAAAATTATTGTATTATATAAATTTTAATAAGATAATCATCTTGTTGTGTAGTGTAATAAATGTATTCGTAGCCGTAATTAAAATCCCATTTAAAACTAGGATTGGAAAAAATTATTATATTCGTAAATGTTTCAAAAGCCAAAAGCATGGTCAAAACAAGGAATGAAACAGTGTGACAGTTGTTATATGTTGATGATTATAACATTCTTGGGTTACGTGAACATTCAAAGCTCCACGTAGTCCCAACAATAATTACCATAATAATAATAATAATAATTATAATTATAAGACCACCAAACCCAAAAAAATAAAAAGAAAAATAAAAATAAAAATCATTTTGCCATTGCATTGCAAGCAAGAAAAGTCGTCCATGTGCATTCAAGTTTCAATTCCAAGCATTCTCTTCTCTTCCAAACCTTTGAGCGTTCTTCACGCGTCAGGCTTCTCTCGGCCACGGCAACTGTCACTCTGTCAGTCTCTAGCCTCCTTCGCAAGCTTCGTCCATGGCATTTTCTCTTCCCTTGCTCAATGATGTCAGTTTTTGGACAAAAAAGAGGATTAACAAGTTGTTTTCCTTCATTTGGTGGAAATTTTCCTTCATATATATGGTTTTGGTTATCAATTTTGAAAGTACAATATCTAAAAAGTTTTTAAATTATTTTAAAAAATTTTAAATAAAATTTTATTTTTAATTATGTTTAATTAATTTTATATATTTTTATTTTAAATTAAATAAATTATTATGATTAATATTTAATAAATAATTACTAATCAAAATATTATTTGTTATTTCAATATCATGTGGTATGCTAATATGTATAATGAATAATTATATGATATGTATGATAATAAGATCACATCATATTTTTACTATTTACATTAATACCATCTAATATATCTATTAACAATACGAGTTTATTTGATAAAAGATAAAATTATAACAACTTAAAATAAACATAATAAAATTAAAAAATATTTAAATATTTTTAAAATAATTTAAAAATTCCTCACTATTTTATATCTTTATTGATTGTTCTTAATATCAAACTCTTGTATATTATTTTCAAACCTCTCCCTTACAATTAAAAAAAAAGAGCAAATTCTCATCATTGAAAAGAAAAAAGTTATGATTCAATAGCTGTTTGATTTGTTTCTTGCTTTGTTATTATATTAATATATATGAGAATAAATTTATCAAGCTTCTAGAAAAAATAATAAAGAGATATTGAATTAATAGTACCAAAAAAAATCAAAACATATGTCACATACCCCTTTTCTATTATACTTCTATATTGATAAGACATAGACATAAATTATTATCAAAATAAAATAAGGGCTAAAAATAAGCCACATTTTCTTCTACTTTTGGCCCCATTACCCACTATCCGCTCCTATATTCTGCCCACCCACCAACCCATAAACTATATTAATGTCACCCCAACATTTTTTTTTAAATAATAGTAGTGCTTTTATGATTTAAATATTATAAATTTATATAATAATTATTATTTTATTAAATTCAAATAATTTTTTATTTTATAATTTATATTAGTATAAATTTTTAATTTTAAATTATTATTGATTTTTTTTGTTTTTGTATTAGATAATGTGAACACAATATTTAATGTAATTACGTAATAATCGACAATAATTATATGACAATTGATACAATATATCAGGTGATCGTATTATTACAAATGTATAATTTGTTATATATCAATTATCATCGAAAGTTAAAATTAAAAATAACTATGAATAAAAATTAAAAAAAAAAAAAAGAAAACCCAAAATCAAAACTTTCCCTCCAAAATATTTCCAGAATTGAAAACGCTCCCCTCTGTTGCTTTGTACTTCACATTATTCTCATTTAATTTTCTTCTATCACCGTCTTCCCATTTCCCTTCTGCAATCTATCTGCAGCCTGGAAAATCTCAATCACCGATGAGGACAGTCTTAAAGTTTAAGCCCTTCGTATTCTCTCCCTTCCATAAATCCAAATCTTCCCCTCCTTTACGCATCGCCGACGTGCTTTTACTCCAAGAACACGAAGAAGAAAGCCTCCTTCTCATGGACGGTTGCAGGGGGTTAAACTGCGCCTCCTCGTTCCGGTTCGCTGCTCGCTTGCTGTCTGGGCTTACGGGTGGGAAGGTGAAGCGGAGGATTGTTGGGGATAGAAAAGAAGAGGACGATGACGAGGCACCACATGATGGTACCGACGGTCATGACTCGTCAACAGGTGAAAAGTTAGTTTCTGATTGTTTATGATTGGGGTTTTGACTTGCAGACACTAATAGTTTTTCTTTTTCTTTTTAATCAGAAAGATGTAGAAGGGAAGTTGATTTCAATGTGGGAATAGGGTGCTGTTTGCTACGTATGATTGCCGAGAGTAAAAATGAACTTCAAAAGATGACGGAATTGAGAATCCAAATGGAAGGTGTTCTTCAAAATGCTAAAGAGGAACTGGGAAATAAAGATTTAATAGTTGCTAAGAAGATTGAATCAAACGATGGCGTCCAGGAAGGTTTGTGGTTTAACAGCAATCCGAGACCAAATAAGGTGTTGTTTGATCAGTCTGTGAAATGTGATGATGTACCTGATGATTGTTTAGAGGGAATGGATAGACTTGAAGCAGAGCTTGAAGCTGAGTTAGAACGTTTACAACTCCATTTGGATTCAGGCAACTTGCCCACAAACCCACCTCAGGATACTGTAGAGGTACAAGAAAACTTAATATTCTTAATTTCGCATGTCTAATATGAATCCCTGCTTAACATTCTGTTGTTGCTTTCAAAAGAGATGGTAGAATGCACTTTCGATTATGAAATCCTTACTAATTCCCCGTTATGTTAAATGGTATTGTTTGCCACTATAGGAGAGTACAATTAACAGCACTGTTTCCTCGAGAAGCTATGGTATAAGCTGTGGAGAAGTAATTGACCCTGCAAGTGATTGTCAAGAAGAAGACTGTTCGGAGTCGCAGTCTGGGGTTCCTCCATTTGAACTCGAGAGAAAGTTGCATGAATTGCTCGAAACGAGGCAGCAGGAACAGATAAGAGAATTAGAAGCTGCTTTGGGACGTGCAAGGCAAGAACTTCGAGAAAGGGAAAGAGAGATTTCCTGGTGGAAAGACACTGCCCATCTTTTGTCAAGGAGTGTTAAAGAACCTTCACGACTTGATTTCCACCATGGTCAACATACTCACCACTTCTCGAGGTGAGAAAAATTTGCTACGGCACTTCTGAGAGTTACCATGTAGCTGAAAAACCACCACCATGACAGTTGTTGGTGTTTAAAGATTAAGTTGCTCCCCTTTGTATTTGTACTCTTTGTTTTTTGCTTCATGTATTGCCGTGTTGGGTTGGGCATGTCTAGTTGACTAGGTTGCAAATGTAATGATAAGTGAGAAAACAGGGAACTAGTATACAGATTGAAGCCATATAGTTTGTGGATGAATGGTCTGCATAAAACTGATTTTGTTTTATTATTAGGTATATACGAAAAGTCTTCAATTTTTTCTTCTAATATCGGGAGATGGGAGGATTTGGACCTAATTCTCGAAACAGGATAAAACAATGACGAATCATCCATTCAGTCAAATGTTCGGAGCTTTTTATGGTTTTCATTAGACTTCAATTTTAGGGATTTTCTTAAAACTATAGCATGCTTGATTTAGAGTTGATATCATCATTGAATTTGTTTGCATTTTTAGCTTAGATGTCTTTCTTTTTAGTTCGTTTTAAATGCCTATTGACTTATGAAGAGTCTTGCTTTGAACAAGATTTAGATAAAAAAAACAAGGCTTTAGTAAGAAACATAGAGAGAAAGATGAGGAATGAAGGTGCTCAAAGATTGAGCAACTAGTCCAAGCCTAGACCAAAAAGCAAAGCCCGGTTCGAAGTATGCAGCCCATGAGTCCATGAACATTCTTTATTCAGTACAAACTATTTAACAAAGAAATCACATGGCAGATCATCATATTCTTAAATGACAACTTGGCCATTAATGACCAGTAATTAGTCCCCGGAGATAGGGTTTCCATTCTTAGAACGACAAAGGGCCAGAAACCAGCCAGGTTCTCTTTTTTATGGGTTCGAAGAAGAACTAGGGACAAACAAGATAAGACAGATATACGAACATATCCAGCAATCACGCGAGGCCTGAGCCGCCACCACCCAAAAAAGTTGTACGTTTTTAAAGCTTGGCTGATTGTAGTTTGAACGCAAAGAAAAGTAGCCCCCTTGCGCTCTCGCACCCAACTTTTTGCCTGTTTTCTTTTGTCAAGGATTCCATCTACTCCTGGATGGATTAGTTGGCTGGAACCGGCGAGTCATTGCTGCCACAGAATTCAAACCGGGAAAGTCGTTGTCCTGGCAGATTAAGAAGTAAAAACAGAGAAATATCATCTGTCAAGATCCTACTCTTCAGCTCCCGTTTACTTTTCCTCTTCCGGGTACGTTTACTTTTTATCATAAATGTGAGTAGTTAATAATGGTTTGATCCAAATCTTGAATCCTATAACTTTGGGTCGTATTTGGTTTGGTTTTTGTTTTTGGTCTTTGACTAAAATAAACATGTCTCTGGTAATGCTGCTAATTCTTGTCTGTTTGACATCTTCAGCTTGTAAACACGAAATGGCGAAAGCAGAGTCCAATGTTAGCGATGGGTTGACGCTAGAATTGATAAGAGAGTCATTGATCAGGCAAGAAGACACCATTGTTTTCAGTCTCATAGAGAGAGCCAGGTTTCCTTTAAATTCTCCAACCTACGACAAATCTTACGCTTCTTCTGTTCCTGGGTCCGGCGGCTCTTTGGTTGAGTTCATTGTGAAACAAACAGAGGCCATCCAAGCCAAGGTAAAACTCTTTCCTTCATCTCAAGAATGTTAGGTCTTCGTTTTTTTTTTTTAAATCTTCCTGAGTAAGTAACTTACAGATGGGTTGTTGTTTTCTTTACTGATTTGTTCTGGACCTAACACGTCAGAGTTTGATCCTTCTAACTTTGTTTGGGGACAGCATATCTGCAACTTCTTGTCTTTTTGTTGTCAATGCTAATTAAGTTATTTTTTAATACAAGAATCTTCACTTTTCAGTCTTGGCACATTTCACTCAAAGAGAGAAAAAACTTTTTCCTTTTTTTTGGGATATAGAAAGAATCTACATTGGTTGCTTGAACCATTTGTTCAGAATCCGAAATCCTGAAACTATTGCCAGTGTTTAGTTGGTTTGATCTAGTTAGTCCTGCTATCTTCATAAAGTTGTTCCATGCTGGTGCAAGTTGACAGTATTCTCATTCAAGAATTAAGGGGTGAAAATGAAAGCTGTGGATTTGGTAGAAACCATGGCAACAAAGTTGCAATCAATGGAATTTGTTTGGCTTCAGTTGTTCTATTAGTTCATCTGTGTTGACATTGAGTGGTGAATGCATCGTAAATTTGAATGTGTGACAGGCTGGGAGATATGAGAATCCTGAGGAACATCCATTCTTCCCAGATAATCTACCACCCTCACAGGTGCCACCTCAGAAGAATCCTGAGGTAATTTATTCTCCTAAGCTAGTGCCTGTTGTTTCTCTTCTCAGTTTTCCTAATACTAGAAACAGATTCGATTATATTTTGAACTAATTCCAAGACCACAGGTTTTGCATCCTGCAGCCATGTCTGTAAACATAAATAAGATCATATGGGATATGTATTTCAATGAACTGCTTCCATTGTTTGTCACTCCTGGTGATGATGGAAACTATGCATCAACAGCTGCTCGTGATCTTGAGTGTTTACAGGTAAGAAGCTCTTGTAATGTCTTCTTATCTATGATATGAAGTTAGAAGTTTCTGCAAGAAGAAATCTCTATTTTTGGTGCAATGGAATTGTGTTGCCCTTCCAAATGGTGTTCCAAATCCTCACACAATTGTGAGAGTACCCTTTCAGGACACAAAGTTAGATCTATTCTAGCAATGACTCTAAAATATGTTGCTCCTCCCTTCAGGCCCTCTCCAGGAGAATACATTATGGAAAACTTGTAGCTGAAGTTAAATTCAGAGATGAAAGGAAAGACTACGAGCCAGCAATTCGTGCTCAGGTACTTCAATCTCATTGTCTAAATGGCATATTTGACCGTACTCGAACGTTCTGACTGTTAGGTAGTCATTATGTTCCCAATGCTGCATGTAAACTGGGGACATTATTTGAGATCTATCTTTTGGTGAAGATGATCGTTTTGACTTGTCTTGCTTGGAACAATGTTTTGGCTGTTTCAGGATAGAGATACCCTGATCAATTTGTTGACCTTTGCTCGAGTGGAAGAAGCGGTGAAGAAGAGGGTCGAGAAGAAGGCAATGACATTTGGCCAGGAAGTGACGCTCGGTGATGATGGCAACAAGGGGAAGTACAAAGTAAATCCAGCTATTGTTTCCCGGCTCTATGGAGATTGGGTGATTCCCCTGACAAAGGATGTTGAAGTTGAGTACCTCCTCCATCGCCTTGACTGAGCATAATCTCAGTTCCTGATGATTCCAACAAAGATCGTATTGTGTAAAACCTGCTTGTTGATTATTGTTCCAAATGAATAAGATTGTATTATGGAAAAATCGGGCCCGACTTTTCATAACTCTTGTAACTCTTTGTTTCAATAACATCAACTGGTTGATGTGTTATTCATAGTCAAAGTGCAAAGAAATCTGGTTCAATTAGGAAGCAAACATTCGACTGTAAAGAGATTAATACCAAATCTAAAGGCATCGACTCTTATGCATTCTCAGCAAGCTTTCGGTGACATCGAGAACTCGATTAGATTGTTAAAATATATATAAGGGTTTAAGTATAATCGAATATAAATTTCTAATCATCTTCGAGGGATACATGCGTCTTTCCAAGTGTCTTCAACGGTACCGAATCATTGCTCCCTAACATTTCCTGTTTTTACAACAGCATCCCTGAATGTCGACATCCATTTAAGGAAAACGCAAGGACATTTGCGTTATTTTCGTGAGCCCACAAAAGCTCAGTGTTTGGTCTTGTTCTTCGAGAAGCAGAGCCTTTTCCTTTTTTCTTTCTGCCACTCTCCAAAAACTCAAAGTTGACTCCTTTGAGCGTGAAATAGCGAGAAATTCCTTCGAAGTTTAACGCACATTGCTCTTTAGAGTCTCTAAAAACAGTAGTGATCACTGATTTTAAAGCTAAGGGCAGAGAAGATTTAGGGGTTTAGGGTTCTTCGTTTCTCAAACCATTCAACACACTTTCAAATGTAAGTCTTTCTCATTTTTTTTTTCATATTTTTCTTTACAGTTCAGAACCCTTTTTCTTCAAGTGTTAGAAAGTTTGTTTATATATTTTTCTGTGGTTCTTTGGGATGATTTTTAAGGTTTTCTTTTTCTTTTTCTTTTTTTTATGTAAACGTTTAATGTAAGCGGAATGGATTTGAACTTTATTTTGTGTTCTTTGCAGAGTTTGGTCCAATGGGGGCGTCAGCAGATGCTAAAGCAAATAGAACTGATATCGATTTAGATGTAGATGATGATGTCTTTGATGAGGTTCTCAGTGTGCAACAGCTGGGAGAAGAGTTTTTGAGGGGTTTCTGTAAACAAGCGGCCGTGTCTTTCTTCAAAGAGTATGGCCTCATCAGTCATCAGCTCAACTCTTACAATGCTTTCATCAAATATGGTCTGCAGAATACCTTTGATTCTTTTGGAGAGTTCCTTATTCATTCTGGGTATGACCCTTCCAAGAAGGGAGAAGGTGACTGGCGTCATGCTAGAGTGAGGTTTGGGAAGGTCACTGTTGAGCGGCCAACCTTTTGGGCTGTTTCTGGAGGCAATGAGCTCAACATGCTTCCTAGGCATGCACGCCTTCAGAACATGACGTATTCCTCCAGGATGAAGGTTAATGTTGACCTTCAGGTGAGTAAGTATCACTAGCTTTTTGAACATCTGTTGATGTCAGTGCCAAGCATCCTTATTGATGTTCGATGTGATAATTATTGATGCAATAACTGTTCTGCTAAGTGATTGTAAGACTCTGGAATCTAAATATTCGTTTGCAGTATATCTTACTATCATCATTGCTTATATGATAGTTTGAATGCTATCCATTGTTCAACTGGCCCCTTCTCGCTCTTTTCCCAAAAAAATAAGTTATTTAAAATATGATATCATTTGTTTCCTGGTAATATATCAGGTATACACGGCAAAAAGTGTTAAGAGTGACAAGTTTAAAACTGGAAGAGAAGAGTTTGTTGAGGAGGAGGTTGTGTATCAAGATAACAGGGATATTATAATTGGGAGGATCCCTGTGATGGTGAGGTCTGACCTATGCTGGATGAATGAAGTTGAAAAAGCTGATTGTGACTTTGATCATGGAGGCTATTTTCTGATCAAGGGTACAGAAAAGGTGAATGTGACATTTTTAATCTGTTCTATATGAATTTTCTTTTGTGTCAGTTGACATTATTCAGTTTCCATATTTGCTAAACAGGACTTCAATGTGCTAAGCACTTTCTATGTAGAGCCAAATACTTTTTATTGTTGCTTTCTACAGAAACATATATGATATTTAGGCCATGTTTTGTTGTAGATATTCATTGCACAAGAGCAAATTTCTATGAAGAGACTCTGGATTTCAAATAGCCAGGGTTGGACAATTGCTTACAGGTCGGAGGTGAAGAGAAATAGATTAATTATTAGACTAGTGGAGAATTCTAAAGTTGAATATATCAAGGGGGGAGAGAAAGTCCTCACTGTTTATTTCTTGTCAACGGAGATCCCTGTATGGGTTTTGTTTTTTGCCCTTGGTGTATCATCGGACAAAGAAGTTGTAAATCTGATTGATTATGAAAGCAATGATTCTAGTATAACAAACATACTGTTTGCCTCAATTCGTAATGCTGATGGGAAATGTTATAAATTTTGTCGAGGAACGAATGCTATTGATTATGTAGGCAAATTAGTCAAAGATACCAGATTTCCACCTGAAGAAGGTATTGAAGAGTGCCTTAGCACGTATCTGTTTCCCACTCTGCGTAGTTTCAAGCAAAAAGCTCGCTTCCTAGGGTACATGGTAAAGTGTCTCTTGCAGGCCTACACTGGTCGCCTAAAATGTGATAATAGAGATGATTTTAGGAACAAGAGGTTAGAGTTGGCAGGTGAGCTGCTTGAACGTGAACTGAAAGTTCACATTGCCCATGCCAGGAGGCGTATGGCTAAGACTCTGCAGAGAGATCTTTATGCAGATCGTACTGTTCGTCCTATTGAGCACTATCTTGATGCGTCTATAGTTACAAATGGACTTTCAAGAGCATTTTCGACTGGAGCCTGGTCTCATCCTTATAAAAGGATGGAAAGGATTTCAGGAGTTGTGGCAAATCTTGGACGAGCAAATCCATTGCAGACAATGGTTGATTTGAGGAAAACACGCCAACAGGTTCAGTACACTGGGAAGGTTGGAGATGCAAGATACCCGTAAGTTACATCAGACGTTTATTTCCATTAATCCATTGTTACATAAGTTCAAATCTTTTTTCGCTTTAAATGAGATTTATTGTATATCTTTTCAAGTAGGCTTTCTGTGCAGAACTTTTTGAGACCAATGGAATGAGTTAAGTTGCTTCTGATGGTTAGAAACTTTGATTTATGCAATTACATGGACTGTCAGATTATTCATCTATAAAATAAATGCTACAATCTTTGATAACAATGAATATGAAGTAGTTTAATGGTTTATCTGCAGTTTTGTGTGGTGTTGTGGTAATCTCTCCTGTCGATTTGTTATCCTTAATATTTGTATCTTAGAGTTGAAACGTGGAATTTATGCTTTAGCTTCTCAGCATTTAATTGTTTATTAATTATGAGTTTAAATCTGTTGATATGTTTGTTATTGTCATCTTTAATATGGTTTGATTCTGGTTTAAGTTTCTAATGCAGACACCCTTCTCATTGGGGAAAAGTTTGCTTCCTCTCCACTCCAGATGGTGAAAATTGTGGGCTTGTAAAAAATCTGGCCACCACAGGACTTGTGAGTACAAACATAGTGGAATCCATAGTTGACAAGTTGTTTGATTCTGGAATGGAGGAATTGGTTAATGATACTTGTAGCTCACTTGATGGGAAAGATAAGGTCTTTTTAAATGGGGAATGGGTTGGGGTTTGTGAAGATTCCCTTTCGTTTGCTGCTGAGGTTAGAAGAAAGCGACGCAGTAAAGAATTGCCGCGTCAGGTGGTCCCCATCTCATTTCTTAGACTGCATGATTTTTTAACTTCTTCAGTTTTATTATGCTAGCCATATCATGTTTCGTATTTTTTGAGGGCAACAGATTGAACTATGAAACAAAATATTGTGTCTGTTAAGGTTATATGTGTGAGGAGATTTGTGGACAAATTTTAATCAGCTGTTATGTAAAACTGAGCTTCTGTTGCTGTTTTCCATCTTTTATGTTTTTAGTTAGTACCTTGGTGAACTTCAGTTACTAAACTGGTAGTAAATGAAAATTGAAGTCGTAGGCTAAGTATCTTTTTCTTTTCCTGAAAGGAAAAAAAAAATGTAAAATTTCATTGAAGTCCTTTAACTTTGGTTCTTGCAGAAGAGTAGTTCTGCAAATTTTAAGTTTTCTTTTCTGTAGTTTGTTATTCTTTCTCTCCTCATCTTTTGTAGTAATGAGTTTTATCTTGTAGGTAGAAATCAAAAGAGATGAACATAAAGGAGAAGTGCGCATCTTTTCTGATGGTGGAAGGATTCTGCGTCCTCTTTTAGTTGTTGACAACTTAACCAGAATAAAAGCATTTAAGGGGGAAAATTACACCTTCCAGGCTCTTTTAGACAAAGGGATAATTGAGCTTGTTGGAACTGAAGAAGAAGAGGACTGTCGAACTGCATGGAGTATTAAGTATCTTTTAACAGACTTTGAGGGGAAGCAGCCTGTTAAGTATACTCATTGTGAGCTTGACATGTCATTTCTTTTGGGTTTAAGCTGTGGGATCATTCCATTTGCAAATCATGATCATGCAAGGAGAGTCCTCTATCAGGCACAGAAGCATTCTCAACAGGCCATTGGGTTTTCTACAACAAACCCCAACATTAGAGTTGATACTTTGTCACACCAATTATATTACCCCCAAAGGCCACTGTTTCGTACAATGACATCTGATTGTCTTGGAAAACTGGGACATCCTTTGGGTCAGAAAGGAGTGCTACCGAAGCCAGAATTATACAATGGTCAGAATGCTATTGTGGCGGTCAATGTTCATCTCGGATACAACCAAGAGGATTCCTTGGTAATGAACCGAGCCTCTTTAGAGCGTGGAATGTTCCGTTCTGAACACGTAAGAAGTTACAAAGCAGAAGTTGATAACAAGGAAATTCAGGATAAGAGGCGGAAGTCTGAAGATATTGTAAATTTTGGAAAAATACAAAGTAAGATTGGACGTGTGGACAGCCTTGATGATGATGGTTTTCCTTATGTTGGTGCTAACCTGCAGTGTGGTGACATTGTTATTGGGAGGTGTGCAGAGTCTGGAGCTGATCATAGTATAAAACTGAAGCACACTGAAAGAGGCATGGTTCAGAAAGTTGTGTTATCTTCCAATGATGATGGGAAAAATTATGCTGTGGTATCTCTGAGACAGGTAATGTTAAGTCTACTATTATAAGGACATCTGACTTCAGCTTGTAATCGAAAATATATGTGCTTATTGACCCAAATGTCATGTGTGCAAATGGAAGAGACAAGGTAGTATTAGTATATTTTTGTTGCGAAAGGTAGCATCTACTGTTGCTAAGAATATGTTTTCAGCAGTTGTTTTTCTGGTATCTTTTCAGGTTCGTTCTCCCTGTCTTGGAGACAAATTTTCAAGCATGCATGGGCAAAAGGGTGTTCTTGGTTTTCTGGAGTCTCAAGAGAATTTTCCTTTCACAGCTCAAGGAATAGTTCCTGATATTGTAATTAATCCACATGCATTCCCTTCACGACAAACTCCAGGTCAACTCTTGGAGGCTGCTTTGGGAAAGGGGATTGCCTGTGGTGGGTCAATGAAATATGCCACCCCTTTCTCCACTATTTCTGTAGATGCTATCACAGAACAGCTTCACAGGTAATGGATTGTCCTGAATCAGTAATACCTGCATGTTCACTATACATTTATCATGATGGATTTTTTAATATAAAATTCTTAAGTGGGCCATTTAGGAGGTAAAATAAAAAGAACTGATGTCAGTTTCTTTTTCTCACTCATAGGTCTTTTTTGGTGTATCCATCCCATTAGTGATTAAACCTGCAACAGATTCACTAATCATTAAGAATGTTTTTCACACTTTGTTTACACTCAGAAGCTATTTTGCATTGTTAAGTTGTCCACGCTATTCTGAAATTATCTTTGAAGCTTAGTTTGCTGTTTGCACTTATTATTTTAAATTTAAGTGCTGCTTTCAATTGTCTTATTTTTAATTTTTTATCATTATTATTATTTTCAGTGATTGCTTTCTCATCTACTTAGTTGAGTATCTGTAACAGGGCTGGATTTTCAAGATGGGGAAATGAGAAAGTTTACAATGGTCGAACTGGTGAGATGGTTCGTTCACTCATATTTATGGGTCCAACATTCTACCAGCGTCTGATCCACATGGCTGAAGACAAAGTGAAATTTCGTAACACTGGACCTGTACACCCACTTACAAGGCAGCCAGTTGCTGACCGGAAACGTTATGGTGGAATCAAATTTGGTGAGATGGAGCGTGACTGTCTCATTGCTCACGGTGCATCAGCCAACTTGCACGAACGCCTTGTCACGCTCAGTGATTCCTCGCAGATGCATGTTTGCCGCAACTGTAAAAATGTTGCAAACGTGATTGAACGGGCAGTACCAGGTGGTCGAAAGATCAGGGGTCCCTACTGCCGGGGTTGCCAGTCTGTGGATGACATTGTCAGGGTAAATGTTCCTTATGGTGCCAAGTTATTGTGCCAGGAGCTATTCAGCATGGGTATTAATCTGAAATTTGAAACCCAGCTTTGTTGAATTTACACGGATTCATCTTTTGCTGCCAAACTCTTATGGAAACTTTATTACTTTAGGTGTAATACTTGGATATGCTCCAATGATTCTGTAAATATCAGTTCCAAGTTTTTGCGAAGGTTAACTTCAGTATAGCCTTCGATCTTGTGGATTATATAAGACTATACAATATTTATTGCATCCTTGTCCATCTCAAGGATTGAGGGAGGAGGCTTACAGGTTGAAAAGGAGGGAAAATGTCAACAAAAAGATTTAGAAATTAGAGTACTAGACATTTATAAAGCAGGGATGTGAATGCTTTTCTCATCATTCCAGGCACTACGTTTGTTCAGATGTAATTGTGATCTTTGAAAGGCATAGTCATTAGGTCTTGCTTTGGTCACCCAGAAGTGGACAGTGAGTACCAGAACAAATGAACATGATCTTAAAAAAAATACTAACAAAACAAATCTCTTACTGATGTGTACCCACAACAAAATGTGTAGAAACTGATACGCAAAAATTTATGGGATGTTATTTCTATATAAAAGAACAAAAACACATGATACACCAAAATTGTCTGCCATCAAAAACTGATAGTTCCCTTACAAAGATTTATAGATCATTCTCAGATATAAGGTTCTCTCAAGGCTGTTGGCAGCACCAACTCAGGTTCTAATTCCCCAAGTGGGGAGAAGTAGCAGTCGACCATGTCTTTAGTCACGTCTTCCAGGCTTGGAGGGTCCCACTGCAATATGGATAATACAATATCATATAGTATGTAAATAAATAACATGGATTTTGGGATTACAAGCCAACTACTTTTCAGTGGGGTTTCACATGATACAGTATAATAACATGGATAATGTGCACTGAGTACCTTGGGAGCAAAATCCTTGTCCACTAACCGGGCTCGAATACCCTATAGAGACAGTTAAATTAACTTCATAAGAACAATTATTCCAGAAATGCTCTTAACGTGCAGAGGACAGTCCATACCTCAGAGAAATCATTAGAGACCCGTTTGGAGATCCCAGCAAGGGACATCCGATATTCACGTGCCAGACACTGATCAAGAGATTGAAATCTACCTTCTCGTATCTAATGCAACAAAAAACTCAAGTAAGCCATTTATGGTCAAAATGGAATTTAAAACGGTTGTAAACATCAGTAACTTACAGATAACTTACAGATTGTAGAGTCACTTTCAAGCTCAATGGTGAGGCTTCTTTCAAGTTTTTGAGCACCGTTTTGCACCAGTCATCATAAGCACCAGCTGCCTCATTTTCCTGAGCAAATTTATATTTGGAGCCAAGAGAACCAAGAGCTCAATGAGCATCACTGAAATAGGGTTATTTAGTAAAAGACTAGAGAAATATATCTGCCAGTACAATGACCCAAATAAAATTTTGAAAGCATTACACAGGTATTCCCAAGTATTGGTTTAATTGTTGAATTGATTGATGTCTAAGTATAAATTAAAACATAAATCTCTGCCTGCCCAAACCCCTATCCCCTTTATTCTTAGAAAGAGGAGAACCTTTGGTTGAAGTAAAGTAAGAGGCTAAATCTTACTCTCCCATGCAGCAGGGGATCAATCACTGAGAAATTCCAAGCTATGAGGATCGCGTTAAAATACCCGCCACCAGGCTCCTATGCAGCTTTTGCTAACATAAAGAGTAATTGGCCAGATGGACTCACAAAAGTAGGGTCTCGCGAAGGGTGACAGACTCCACTCTAGCATTTTTAAATAAAACACGCACTGCTGTAGACTTTCTATTCTCATACATGGCTGAGAGGTTACCATTGAGCTAGGAGCCCTTTACTTATGCTAAAGTTGAGGTATCAAAGCTTTAACTGACTGCCCAGACACAGACACCACTCAATGGCACACGTAGGGAAGTGTCTATATGCTCAGGCATACACACACATCTATGTAGAATTAAGCTTACCAGAGAATCAATAATTTCCTCAACAGTGTCGCAGCTGAAACATTTATCAATTGTGTCAATCCTGAAATAAAATCACAAGATAAGGGAAAAAAAATGGATCAGACAAAACCATGCTTCACAAAAAATTGTGCAGTCCAGATATAGGAACCTTTTCTATGTGCTACAATCCCTCAAATATGTTACCTGTGAAGAACGCTGCTCCTGTCTGGATAAACAAGGTCACCATACTGTGCAAGAGAAGACTCTATGACAGTGGGATCATCATTCGTCAAGTTACCAAGGCGTTCTTCAATCCAAGCAAGTCTCTGTCATGTACAGGTCATCCAAAAGCTGAGAAAAGAGGAACTGGAGGAAAAGGACAAAATAATTATATAAAAGAAAAAGGAGCAGAAAGAACAAACAGCATTTAAGCAATAGTGGGTAGCAAGGCCACAGGCAATCATTTCAACACCATTAAGCTTTTCTCCTGTTAGAGCTAAGTATTCCCCTGAAGGAAACAATACACATCTTGTTAAAAAAAAATGGAATATGTAAATCCAGAGGCATACAAGCAAATAACCTGAAGAAAAGGATATATTCCTACATTTTAATAACTAGAAAAGTATACAAAAGAACATAATAAGTGATGTACATCAAGGAAGTTAGCTATGCCTTGAAAACTTAATAAAATGGTCATTACCAAAGTAACCAGGTAGGCGAGAAAGATAAAACGAAGCCCCCGCACCAGGATGGAATCCTAATTGAGTCTCTGGATTAGCAAAAACCTGAAAATGTTATGCACAGGTAAGAGACATTTAAATCCATTCACTAGAAACAGTATTATCATAGTGTAAGTCTTAGAGAATAAAATAAATGAAGAAAGGAATGGTTTTATGTCACTCTAATTGAACAATTGTGCTCCTGCCTACGAACCACAAAGCTGCAGACACAATGTTTTGATGCAAAAGATTTCACCTCCCTTCTTCAGCCTATCTCATTTGGAAGTATGATGCAGAATCTATAAGAGCGTATGCTGCCATGCCATTGCTAATAAAGATAAAAGTACAACCTTTTCTCACTAGATGGGGACAAAAGTTCAATCTTCAGGTGACAAATGAACTCAACTAAAGTGTATGTCATTCATAAGAAGCAATATGGATACATTAACTCAAATGTGGATCAATGCACAAATTCTAATACAAGATTTCTTTTATGGAGGTTTGGCACCACATACAGTTTTATCAGTCACTAAACGAAACATCCCTGGGAGAGCAATTCCACCTCCACATCCCATCGTTATACCATCCAAGATTGCGACCTGTACAGATGGTTAGTCATGATAGTCACAAGCCTCATATGAAGTTACGAAAAGAAACTCAGAGGTAATTCACATGGCTATCAATCACTCAAAGGTTGAATTCTCACATGTGGCTTTAGATACGTTCCTTGTACATATACAAACTTATACAGTGTCTCGAAAAACCTTTTACATTCTTCAACTTTCCCTGCAGAAAACCCAAGTAGTTGAAAAAAATGTATCGCAGACTACAGTAAAATGGTAGAACAGAACCATGATTATGCAAACTATAAAGTAACTTAATCAGAAAGAAATTCCATTGAGATGTTTGATGCAATAATCTAAGGGGTCAAAAAATAAATGACTTGGAAAACCTCAATAATCATGTTTGTGGAACTCTTCACCAACTAAGTTGTTCTGATTTCAAGTGATGGGCACCACAATTACCATCTCATTCTTGAATTGCTTTCTCAAAATGAAGAGCTCTCAATTGATTAATCAAATAACTAAACAACATTGAAAGGTGACTAACCATCGTTAAGTAAGTGATAGAGAGTAACAGCATCAACGCCAGAACAGAAAGCCCTGCCACTACCCTTCAACAGAGTTCAAATAACAGCTTATATACCAATGAAGATCAAATCTGAAATGTCAAGGGCATGATGAAATTCCATTGACAGAAGATATGAAACAACTAACTAAACAAAATCACCACAGAAGCTGCATTGCTCTTTTTTCTAAAAATGTTTAGAACAAAAAAAGAATATTCTAGAGATTTTCTTTTGATACACAATTCATTTCAAACATCTTTTTCGAAAAGAAAAGAAAGTTACATGTTTGTGCGTGTATGTTGAGTGCTGCAACTAAACTATGCATTAAAAGGTTATACCTTCATTAAGACAAATCCAACATCGGGGTTCTCTTCCCATGATTCATACAATCTCTTCAACCGTGCTGCCTATAAACAGGAAAACAACTTCATTTATTACTAGTTAAAAATATCGACTTTAAAAGAAAAACAAGAAAGAGAGAGCAAAAACAAACCATTGGGGCGGTAAGTGCATTGAGAGCAGAAGGTCTATTGAGAATGGCTGCTCTTGATTTAGCTCTTCCTTCCACTAAAACCTGAAACATTTCATGCCCCAGTAAGCAACTTTTGACAAAAATATGCACTTGGGTCTTCCATTTTCTGAGAAAAATTACAAATTTAAGCACAAAAACCATGCTTGACACTAATTATTGGAAGTTCCCTCCCCCCCAAATAAAAACTGTAAACAGGTATATAAGCATAAACCCAGATAAGATATAGTTGTTTTCAGAAGACCTCGTCCTGGAAATCATAATTTGGGGCATAGTTTGGCTGTGCAGAGAAGCATCTTTGATAGGAGAGGAACCCGAGTCTTTGAAATGAATGCCTTGCTTTTACTAAACCTTTCACTCTCTGCATCTTTTCTTTGCTCCCTCTATCTCTCTCTTCCTTTCTCTTCAATGCTCCTTCGCCTTTGGAGAAAGAAGCTTTGTTGCCTTGGCTAGTTTGGCTTCGCCTCTCTCACAGTGTTTCCCTCAAGCGCTCTCCAGCATCACTGTGGGCTTTGCAGTTTGGTATCAAGAATTGATCGCAGCCGCTGGATTGTTGACTATTTCAGTCAAACCAACTTGGCTCAGCTAGAACTTTAATTATGGGCCTTAAGATGGGCTCAATCGGACATTGAACGAGACATTAAAAAGCCCAAAGGCAACTGCAATGGACCTACGAATATTTTTTCTTTTAATTTACTTTTACGACAAAGAAAAATCTATGAAGATTATAAATAATTTTTATTAGTATTTGTTATCAGTGCCTTTGCACGTGAATAATTATTTTTTATTTATCTCTAAATTATAATTGTATACAAATAAAAATATTTTTGAAGTTAAAATTTAAAATATATAAATTTATAATATTGTAATTTTATTTGTAAATACTGTTGTTACGAATCAATATTTTTTATCTTAAAAACATGTTTGAAGAGACTTGACCCTTTTAGCAATACGAGAGAGGGACTCACCTTGATTCAAATCTACCTTGATCTTAATATTTTGATTCTAATACCACTTGTCACGAGTTTACATTTTTTATGTATTTAATTTTTTATTGATGTAAAATCTATGATACTATAATTAAGATTGTAAAGAAGTGGCATTGATAGTCATTGTAAATTTTCTGGATGAACAAGTCTCCAAACTTAAAGATGATCAATTCCAAGCAAATGGATTCTGTTTTGTTTTTTTTTGGGGTGAAGTTGCTAATACAAGCCATTGAGTTCATTGTTTTGGAGCTAGCTTACACCAATAAGACTGATCATCAACTAGAATAAGCATGACCATCACCCAACTCTTCAACTGCAACAACATAGGGCGAGTTCCAATCTGCATCGAAGATTTCTTGAAGCTGTGAAACTATGGCAGGATTATACGTCCCGAAGCTGACTCCAGCTGTTGCATAGAAATAATCCCAAACGAGATTGCTGGTACCAATGTGTGCACGAACGTCACTGACTGCATACTTACCATGATTGACTCTGGTGTACGCTGGGTAGATATTACCGGTTCGCTTTCCTTTGTGAATGGCAGGTCCGGTCAGGTTGTAGCCTGGCACCTTGTAGTACCTGATCTCAACTTTGCCTGAACATTTGTTGTACTTTGAAGATGAGCAGAGGACATTGGAGTAGAGAAGCGACTTCAGGTAGAGATCAGTGTTGTTGATAAAATGTGCCCAGTATGCTACCAGTATCTTCACTTTTGCATGCTTGGAGAAGACAACCTACCATATTTAAACATCATATAAGAAGAGGAAAAAAGACAGTAATATGCAAAAATGAGTTAGGTAATGGACCAATGTTCATGGGACTGCAATGGAACAGTTGTATTTCCAAATATAGTTAGAATTCATGTAACTACAAGAGCCTTTTTAAGTATCTTACTTGTAAGGATATATTAAGGATGCAGGACCCTAACCCCCCTGGAGTCTAATATGACTCTATGAGCACCCCTCTAAGAAGACATATAGATAGCAATTTACAGCAATGGGCTTACAAGAATCTAAAACACTAGGAATAGAATCTGAAGGTACCTCTGAGACAGCGGTTGAAAGAGATGACCAATAAACTGTTCGCTCTGTATATTGGGATTGACCAAGCCAGTCCATAGTACTGATCCTTACAGTCCCTCTGTCTCCAACAGATTTAATCGTATCTAGCCATGCCTGTTCATCAGGCTGGAACCTGCCAAATGACAGCTGCTGACCACAGTTGGCATCAAATTCGATGAAGCTTAAAAGGAACAAACACAAAAAAGAAAAAGGAAATTTGAAACACAAAAGCTGATTAGCATTTCTCTTTAAGTGTGGGGCTGAACTTCTGCTAGCACGAGAGAGATGAATATTTCCAAAATGCTGATCAAATCCCAAAAACATGGATAGCCTGGACATGCCAGAGCCAAATAGTGAAGAAAACTGGTTAAATGAGATCAGTCATTCAGCAGCTGAATTCAATCCAAATCCTTCTCCTTGATCAACTGGATAGGAGTCTAACCTATTGACTTCAGGTCATGATGAATCTGACATACCTTTGGAAACAAATCCATTCCATTTAGTTTCCTATAGGATTTGTGGACCTTTAACTTTTGGTTACTGTATGTTTTCTTAGCCTCCCTAATGAGTTCTATAAGATTTCAAGTGCACTATTCTACGTTTATTGCTCAAACAAGTTCCATTCCTAATGAGTAGCTTTTGCAGTGGTTCTATAGGAAGGAAAAAAGACCAAGAACAAAAAGGGAACAAGAGTTCAAATTCTTAGTAAGCCTTAAGATTTTAGGTTGAGCATCGGAAAAATGTAAAGTGCTAGCTACTTACCTCTGGTGGAGCAAAAGACAAATAGCTTGATTGAGGCACTGAACTTATATAACCAATACCAGGAGCATCAATAATCAATTTCAACATTTTAGGGTCTGAAAGTGTAGGATAGCCTGCCACATAAGGAATCTCCACAAAACGAGGAAGGCGTGGCCTGATGAATAAGCATGTAAAGCCATTAACTTGCCAGCAATGTGGTGCAATCCAAAGGAAGAAAATATTAACCATTTCCTAGGGGCAAGCGGCACACTATTGTGCTTGTTAGCCAGCAGTCCAATTGTGGGACAGCCTCTATAAGCATATAGAAAACAATATCATGAAATAACATATTAACTATTCATGTTAACCATGACAAAGCTTGTTGAGAATTTTCATTTTTTCATTAAGAAAATAAAAAAAAAAAATCCCAAACCAAAAAGAACCATGGTTTTCTTATTGAAATATAGTGCATTGCTCAACCCAAATTCAACAAATAGATTTTCAGATATCACCCAGCAGTGCGAAAAGGAAAAGCAAAAAATAGTAACAAAAGCAGACTAATGAAAATATGCAGGCATTTTCATGAATAAATGCACATCGACGACTTTTGACACCTGCACAATTTTGGAAACAAGAATGAAATTTTCAAAATAAGACCATTACATACGTGCATCTCATGTCAGATTCAATGAAATGCGACCAGCAGGGAACCTTTCTTTGAATCTGCCATTGTTGGTCTAATACTGTTGTTGTGAAAGCTGAAACATTAAGATGTGCAAGTCTCCATAGATTCTGAAAGTAGACCCCAACCTTTCTTGCAACTTTTGGACAACCAACAAGATAAATTCCAACTTCCTTCACCTATAACCATAATCAGGACATGTCATTGCATGGTTCAATCAAAAACAACATGCTGAGATGATTGATGGAGTAAAGATAATAATCACCCAAGACAAATTTGCAACAGTTAAATATCCAATAATATGGGGTATAATATACGATTCCTGAAGATGAGTGGGAAACTAATTTCTTGACATCGTAAAGGTACCAAAGAATAGAAATGCTTAACCAATAGGGCAACTAAGCTGCATTGACAAACTTAAAAAAAAAAAAACAGAAATATAAAAATGCAAAGATTGAAAAAGGAAACTTCATGACTGTAAGAATATATGTTAGTGCAACCATGTTCTGTGTCTGCCAGGGAACAAGAGTGATGCATTAAAACTCAATTAGGCAGCCCGCTCATTCCATCCAAGTACAAACACCAGAATCAACTCACTAGCTAAATGGCATCTTGATTCGCATGACCAAGTGAAATAAACTTGCTATTCAGCCAACTTCTTATACTAGCCCTATCCAGGAAAATGTATTCTAACAGCAGATAAACTAGATAAATGATACTATGTCAAAAAAAAATCTTTCTTTTCTGCTACCAAGAAAAGATATTCTTAACAATGTGGTCAAAGATTGGCCAAAAAAAGAGAATGTGGTTAAAGAAGCGAGAAACGGCCCTGGAACCAGAATGCTCACTTACTATGATGTGGATTATATGGTTCAATAATGTCAAGGTTAAAAAAAATAATTAACCATGAGCCGGTGGCTAGAGCAACCCTCAAATCCTCAAGTTGATGAAGGTTCAGGCTCTCGATGACAAAATTATATCTGTAGTCCAAGCCATGATATACCTGAACTGTATGTATTTTAAGATACCTGAGTAAGAGATTTCCAGTCATTGTTTGCTGATCCTATATATACATCTCGATTATCTGATATCCAAACTTTTGCATGGACAATGCCTGAACCCCACCATTTATCAAGTAATAAAGTCACACTCTTGACATTTGGTCTTCTTGAAGCAAGGCTGGAGGGCTCTTGGGTGTAGTCAGGATACACACCAGAGTGCTGTAGTAATCTGAGAAAAAGTAACTGATTTCATAAAAAATATGATGAATTTAGAATTCTCAGGCAATGGAAAGTATTTGCCTCTATAAAATAGTAATATAAGATTAGAAAACAGGGAAAAGAGATGTTGCAATATTTGGTATACCCATAGATATTGAAGAATGAAAGATTCAAATAAATGTGAATTTCACAATTTTACCATCCTAACCAAAAATTCATTTTCTTAGAAATGTTCTCCCTTTTTCATTGGGCAAAGAGCTACTTCAAAGTAGACATATTGGTAGCTAAATGAAGTCCACATATTAAACTCAGGTAGTATTCACTATTCATATCTCCTCTTCATCTTGCCAACAGAATTTCATTTGCAGTCATCAGGGGAAAACAAACAGTGATTTTAGATCAGCCAAGTACCCCTCAGTCCCAGATATTTCTTTCCCAAAAGCAATATGCAATAATAAAGCCCAGTGCTTTTCCTTGCTCAAGATTGATGTTAGGAGGAATGCAGTCATGCAACAGCTTTTGAAAAGCACAAGTGATCAAGGAAATGCAATTGAACACCACTAATAGTTCATTTCCAACACAAATAATTCTTTGTAAGACAGAATTGTGGAACAAAAGGAAATCACCAATAAAACAGTAGAAAAGATCAATCAGTACCAACTAGTAACAAAACATAAGGAAGGTCAAACTTGTGCAAAATTGTCTGTAATTTAACAGCTTACTGACCCGACCTCTTAACCAAGATATGTAATGCAATAAGTAATTTTTGAAGTTTACATATGCAATGTTTCCCGATATAACTGTTAGTTTCACAAATGGTTTCGATTTGGAAACAGCACTATTCATAATTTAATTAAAAATAAGACATTGAATCCGAAAAGTATCACCTGATATCAACATCTCGATCAGCAGCATTTTCCAGGGCAGTATAAACAGAAAAACCTTGATGGGCACCAAACCGATGCATATCATCCTTTGAGTATCCATAATCCCCTGATCGAGAATCCTCTGGGTGTGCTTTTAACTGCCAATACTGAGCTATTATATCTAGCTTGTCCGTTGAGTTGTAGGCCAACCACTTGAACACATCGCCTGTTAACCCAGAAAAAGGTCGAAGGACAACAAAAAAATCAGGTTCTTTTTTCACTTTGGGGCAGAATTTTTCGAGGCAGATAAAGATTGTTACCGGTAGAAAGGACACCAGGGACACGAGGGAGATGAGGCATGTCTGTTGGGATTGATTGGACCAACCAAGCTTTGCATCGTGGCAATGATTCGGTGAAACGTGGAACAGACAGGTTGACCAAGAGAAACAACACTAACGATATGATGATACTGTACCTAACCTCCATCTTTCTTCTCCTAATTGGATCTTTCTCTCTCTCTTTTCCTCACTTTCTGAGTGAATTATTATGGGGCATTAAACTATCGGTTAAAGGCTCAAGACCAAGTATGGAAAGTGAACCAAATGAGAAAGGAATCTTTCTGCTTGCTATCCATTGAACATTCTTTCAATCTAAACAGCCTCAAAGTTATTTGAGCTTATCATGAAGCTCGCTGTCCAAGGAAAAATAATTAAATTTATCAGTTTGTAGTTTATTTGATCTGGGTATCAGTTTTTGTAGAGGTTTCCATCAGAAAACGAAGGAACTGTTTTGAGATAGTCATCTTCAAGAACACGAGTCGGTTGACAAGTTACAAACAAAAATAAAGCTGATGGCAGAAAGGGATAGTTCCAAAAGGCTTCATTTGCATGCAAAATTATCGTGTCTTCAAAGAGAAGCATGTCCATTGCTAATGGAACTTAAGAATTTCTTTGAAGATCATTAAGTCTTTTGAAGAAGATTGCATTGGTTTTGTTATGTAAATCTTACTACTGCTTTAACAGCTCTATTCTTCTGCATGAAGAATAATTGTAGTAGCATATATTCATGTCAATTTTTGAGAAATTTCAGGAAGCCTACTTTTGTCATATTCAATCAAACAAATTTGCCTGTTTTATTGAAGCTGGTGATCCCATCATATAATTGAGAATGCAAAGAGAAGGGAAATTTCATGGTATGTTCTCACCATTTCTTAGATTTTGACGAAAGCCTTAAAACATTTTAGGTAACAAGCAGTTCCTGGCCATGGGTTTATTTTTTTTTACCAGGAGAAGAATAGTGGTTTTAGTTGTACCTTGCATTGCTGTTCAATTCACTTTGCTGCATCCATTGAACTTGGTTAGTCGAATCATGTAAACTAGAAAACTTGGCAAACAGAAAATCTCAATGCCTTGTAACAATTGAAAGTACACTAAAAAAGTTAAAATCCAAGGGAATTCAACCCAATCTAGTTCCCTTTCGAGACTTGACCCTAATTGGCGCAACAGGTGATGGGCTTTAACCCAATTTTATTCTTCCTTTTCAGAAACAAAACCCAAAGGAATTTGGGTCTTAGTGCTAATCCATGGGGCATGAACTATAACAGAGAAAAAATTTCACCAGGCAGGCACCAATCAGAGGCAATTGCGGAAAACAAACCTTGTCGAAGCAAAACTTTTGCACATTGGAGGATTTATCAATTGGGAAGTTGTTAAGGACTTAACAGGCAGTGAAGTCAAAATTGTCTCCAGTGGTGTTTCCAGGATGTTTTGTTCATTGAACAAGAAGTCAGAAGCCTCTCCAGTTTCCGCCACCAACGACAGAAACCTCCCTGTCATGGCAGATTCTGATGACAGGAACAAGGTTGAAACTGTCACCAGTGGTGTTTCCAGGATGTTTTGTTCATTGAACAAGAAGTCAGAAGCCTGTCCAGTTTCCGCCACCAACAACGGGAACCTCCCTGTCCAGGGAGATTCTAATGAAAGGAACATGTTGAAATCCGCTTTTGATGAGTGCAATAATATTGGTATCATCCTACCTGCACCGCGGGGGGATGTTTGGGAAATTTATCTTTCAAAAGTCTTACGTTGTGGGAGTACGATTGCTGCTGTGCAGTTTGCAAGTCCTGAAGATTATCCGCTGCTCTTGCTGCAATGCAAAACCATCTTTCCCCTTGCAATAAAATCCCATGTCTCGTGTTCCCTTCGGACAAGTAGATTTTCTGCCTTTCAAAAAAGGAGTAGATTTGCCGGCGGTTGTGGTTCGCGGTACTGTGCAGCATCCCATTAGTGGCTGGTAGGGGCAACAAGAGATGGAAGTAACTTCCTTTTAATCCTTTTACAACGCAACAAATCTGACTTCCATTTCATCCCAGACTTGCTGATTTTAGTAATAGCTTTAGCTTCATAAATTTTTCCTCTCTTACCAGCTGCATCCGGAAGGCTGTGATATTGCCACCTTCTTTTGCTGCAAGTGATCACGATGGTGTTGCAAACTTTGACATGGAGAGCATTGTTACTGTAAGGCAGAAGATGAGTTTTTGACTCACTTTCGGGATATGGAAAGTCTGAGTTCGAGGATGTTATTAACTACGAGGGGCAAGCTGCATAGTGTTTCTAGTGATTTTGAACTTCTTTTGGAGTTTGGTACCTCCAGCGAGAGTTCAGAAAGGTTGAGCCTCCTTTCCCCTTCTGGCCTATTCTGGAGGCATATTGCAGTGTCATATATTTGGTCGAATCTTGCGGTGAATTGCCGATGGTAGTCAGAGAGCTTACAAGAGAGGGGACACAAATTGGACGTCCCAGAACCAAGATGTTCGGTGTCTTCAAATTAGATGAGTAGGCGTCGCTCTCTGCTAGCCACTGCCCAGGTCAGGTACCTTTTGGGGATGCAAACTACATCTCCCTCTCAGCTAGCCACTTCCCAGGATTTGAGGGACACAGCATACAACTTCACCAACGCCAACCCAGGAGGAATGACGTGTTCTTTCAGTAGTTGTAAATTTATGTTCCATTTTGTGGAGGAAAGAGTAAATTATGCAGTACTCTTGTACAAGACCGGTGTCTTTCTTTCATTTTTGTCCCTCTTATTATTCCAAGGCAACTGGGAAAGTACTTTGGGCCACGCCCTTTTTCTCCAGCAGTTGCACATCTCTTCAGGAGAAACAATAAGGTGATCCATGAATTATTACAGGTAAAAGGAATAGAAAGTTCCAAGAAAATGTAGACCTCCAATTAGATACAAGAGACTTGATATGAAGATTGATAATCATACAATTGGATAAGATGTTAGAAAGTGTTGGCACCCAAAAAAACTAGTACATTTTTTCTGCAACTGACCCTCCTTTTAGAATACTTCACACATAACAAGAAGATAACCCCCATCATCAACTACAACAAAATCCTACCACTTTTTACACTTACAACAGTTTGAATATTCTTTCCCTGTTTAGGTACTGATAACCCTCAGCATCCTTATCTAAGAAATAGAATGCCTCCTGTGTCTTGAAGATGAACCAGAGGACTTGGTCTCCCCTGGAACCATTGAAGTTGGGCTTTGCGAACTTCCAGAGGTCTCAGAACTTCTGTTCTCCGCATGGCCTTTTCCCACAACCCACAACTTGTCAAATATTCTTCTAGATCGAGATGGCAGCAGCTGCATGCCACTTTTACTGTTTTTGCTATTCTTCTTGGCCACTTTACCATTCTTTTGAAATCCATCCTCTTTCACCTTCATTTGACTCATCTGTTTCTTGAGGGAGTTGCAATCTTCAGCTGCAGTCTTCTCCCATTCTTCTTCTGTGTTTGTTGTGGAATGGGAAATATCGCGAGAATTGTTAGTAAGTGATTGAACTCCAGCTGCAGCCCTAACCTGCTCAAAGAAGAGAACTTGAACTACAACCCGTAGTGGAAGTCTCTCATTCTGTGCAGCATGCATAGATGCATCCATAGTTAATTTCTTGACATCCATCAGCCCGCACAATTTCTTTCTTTCGGCCTTTGTCAAGCTTGGATGCTCCTGCAGACAAACATAATAACCCATTCTTTGGACTGTCCAAGTGCCTCCATATCAAAAACCATTTATGCATGAAAAACTTATTGGTTTTCACTATATGATAATGGCAGGCATCATGAAAAACAAAGATTGTGTAATATCGTCACTAGACCATAGAAATTACTCTGTGCTATCTAATCAACAACCACAAACTCCGATATCCCAAAATGCTGCTTCAAGCAGTAAGAAAAATTAATTAAGCAAGGTGTCCTCAACTAGGTGGTTGACTGAAAGGTAACCATATTTTGTTTCAAAAATACAGGAGGAGAGAGAAAAAAAACATGGTCCTACCATATTGCAAGGTCCTAGTTCAACTTGAGTTAGACTAACAACAATTCTGCCCTCTCTACCAATTAACATTTCCCCTTTACCAATGCACTCCTAGTAGAGCAGTTGGAATTACAACATTATAACATTACAGATCTTGGAAGTGACCTAGATGTTCTTTGAAAGCATTCACAGCACATACTTTATTGAGCATCAGAAAATATGCTGAAAGAATTTATGCATGTATTTATGAGATGGGATATATAATTCTAGAAATTGAGAAGATCAATGATATTGGTATCCTTAATGTAAAAAAGCCTACCTTCAGGTACATGTCAATGGCTTTATAGAGTCCATCATGAACTGGTCTAGCATACTCGGGGATAGACTGAGACAAGTCAATGAGACTGGCAAGGGAAAGATTAGGGTCCCGAGCAATTTCTTCAAGATATCCATCAATCAATTTACCACCACTCAACAAGGATCCATGCCCTAGAACAAAATCAGTACATCCCATCTCATTCTTTTCAACATCTAAATCTTGGGTACACTTTTCATTCATGATATATCGATTCACAATAGATTGCACCATCTCAACATCATATAATGTAGTTTGGGGAGACCGAGCCGGGATTAATAAATCCTTGACAGAAGCCTCATGCAACTTTAAACTTATCCTCTTCACTAAATCTTCCTTAGCTGAATCATCCACCCCAACCAAAATGGCAACTTTCAACAGCTTCAGCAAGAAACCACATGAACAACCCACAGCCTTATCTGAAGGTAATAAGCATACAATTGTTTCCACCAGTAATTTGTTCCTCCAGGAATGTGCTTCAGAAACCAAGGCATTAACAGAATCTGGCAACCATCTGACAGCATAAGTTTTCAGTGCCTCACCAATCACTGCACCATCCATTCTTCCCTTTGATTTCACAGCAGTCATGACTCGCTTGTAGAGATCAATCTCTAGCTCACATATATCTTCAACCCACCAATCCTTCGGGACAGATTCAACCTTCTCTCGAAATTTCATACCATCATCAACTATTTTGTCAGGCACTGATAACTTCCTGTTATATGTGTAGGACCATGTGATGTTTGCTGGATCCACAGAGGTTTTAGATGCAATGGAATCAATGCATCTTCCAACAATCTTCAGGTTTTCAGACCATGGTATAAGAGATTTGGTAGTTTGTAAAACAATAATGGAATCTTTCCAGCTACGGAATATACTAGAATTAAGAAATACTTCGATTTTAAAAATTAGGTTACCCCGATCAACATTCTCAGTCATCTCTAGGTATTCAGCTGCACAACGGGCAGCCACAACATTGTAAGCATTTAAAGTCACAGTCATCCCGTAGCAGAACTTTGCACAAATTTCAAATGCTTTTGGCCCACCTGGAAAATCAACCATATTAATTTCATCACAGTTCTCTTCACTGGCTTTCAGCACTAGTTTTTGCAAGCAATTGCTCTTTGACAATAGAGGGAACTGCAAAAGAGACATAAAAGCAACATCTTTAATTATCTCTATAGACACAGAATTCTAGAACTTAATTATAAAAATAACAGTTTAGTTTAGCTGAGAGAAGAAATCAAGCAAAGATTCATCTGTACTCCCACTACATTGGCATCTATAATAGCAAAGACTCATCTGAGGAAACTTATGCAAGAAGTTATAGGAGGGAAATATATGACTGTCATCGGTGAGATTTCACAGTATCTAATTACACTACTTTGACAAAATTTTGCACACTAATAAACCCATGAAATGGTAATAATAGAAATATATTCCTGGAAGAACAAAATTCAAATGTATAGTTAGGTTGAAGAAATACCTTTAAAGTTTTCATGAGCTTTAAACGGAATAAAAAAAGAAAACTATTTAGAATGAATCAAATACCAAAAGTCAGCTTTAAATTCAGCATCTACAAACACATATAACAAGCATAAAAATTTTGAAGGGATTGAGCATACTTTGTGAAGGTAAAATTTCATTTCACCCACAGTAATGGTGACATCCGTCGCCAAATCAGATGTAACATACCTGCATCAACAGATATTTTACGTTAAGCCCACAAAGAGGAAAAAATTAAAGCTAAACTTATTGAGAGAGCAGCGAAAACTCTTAGCCATCCACATAGCCCCAAGTTAGACAATCAATGGCTACTGTCAATGGACTGGACATTTCAAACTCCGCAACAAACCACATGCTATATTCTGAAACACCTTTGTGACTTTGACATAAAATTATTGCCCCTCTTAAACATGAAAAACAGGTGTAAATACAGCATTATTATTAAAGATTAATTCAGTTTTTTTTTAATTATTTATCACTTGTTGACCAAAGCGATTAATTTACCTTTTAAGACAACCTCTACCAAAAACCTACAAAAAAAGATTCCAGACACAGCTTTCTAGGAGTATATTAGTATCTCACAGACTAGTCAATAAGCAACAAACGAACAAGCTGCCTCTGCTGACGTTTTCATTTTATGATGCAACTCGCTCAAGCACAAGAAGTATTGACTACAAAGAAGGTCCCATTCAAGAAATGAACAGTGCCAACAACCAATTCCATACATAGAGCTCTCAAGCCTCTTTCATTTTTCCCACTTTTAATCAGCGGTGTCAGCTTAAAAAGTTGAAATCTGAATCTATAAAAAGATCTTGAAGGTAACCAAAATGTAAAAGATCATTTACTGGGAACTTATTAAATCTGTTAGTCAAAGAATACAAGCATCCTACATCAGTCCATAGCTTAAGTAACAAAGTGACGCATCCAGGGTACTAGACTACATCAGTCCTCCTTAACGCTGCCTTAACAACACAATGATAAAACTGATTCGGTTATGTGAAGTTATTGTCAGGGGAAGAGACTTCTTTTTTTTTTTGACATGTTATGGTGTAAAAACCAAGCCTGCTCCACGTTGGGAGATGGGAAAATGCCTGATGTTAGGTGGAACATGCTATTGTTTTACAGGAAGATTCTTACAACGATGATTAAAGGCCTGCTCCCAATATGCCTTTCCCACATTTGGACCACTAACTCATGAAAAAGAGAACAGGCTCAACAGCTGGACCACCTCCCAGATACCCCATCTCTTTTTTCACTCTCCAATCCACCCAAAAACCAAACAATAAAAGAATAATAATTGGCAATGAAAACACCCATGTGGTTAATCTGTCGCCAAGCCAAAAGAAAATCAAGAGAAAAAGAAAAATCACTTGTTAAAGTTGTGACTTTTCCCAATGGTATGATTAACCACTGAAAGGTTTCTCTTTTTTTAAGGCGTTAAAGTATAACCCGCTAAGCTGTATAAAAAGACAAAGATAAATTTTTCATAAACAGCACAGTAGCTACTAATACAAAATGAAATAAATTACACATTTTTAGTAGAAAATTGGTAGAGCTAATGAACTTGCATCTCAGAAACCGTACGGACTAGTGATATGCACAATACAAACAACGGGGGAAACACCAAACCCAAGAACCAAAATGGATAGTTAAACATGTCTAGAGCAGACAGCATAACGGAAAACAAAACAAAACCAAATCAAATGGAGAAAACAGAATGTTAAGAAGAAACTTAAAAAGGAAACAACGATGAACAAAATTTGCATTGGTTTGTTGCAAAAGGAAGGAATGTGAGTGAAACCCATCTTACCGGATGCATTTGCCATCAGCTTGGAAGGCGTCAGGCTTGGAGCCAAGCTTCATAAACTTCATTTTTGTTACTTTTCTCGAAAATACCCTCACAGAAGAGAAGAAACCACAGGAAAAATCCCTTCAAGCAAACTCAAGAAGCAGGCCTAAGTTCCTTGTGGTTATGGAGTTGCCCATACCGTGTACCAACGACAAAGCTTCTCTCTTTCTCTCTCTGTGTCTCTCTCAGCTGAATAAAACAAACCCAAACCAAACCAGAAACCGAGAGCAGAGGCAAAGAAACAGCTGTTCCTATTCTTCAAAGAAGAATTTGAGACTTCAGAAAAAGAGAAAAATCTTTTTTAATAAACTAAAATCCTAAAAAAGAGAACACGCAAACGCAACAGCAAGAAGCCAAGGAGAGAGTATTAATAAACATTGGACAGAACCAACAACAACAACAGAAACATCAACAGGCCTTGCTTCCTTATCCTCCTCCACCCCTTCCTCGAACTCCACGCTGTTCCTATCCCATTTCCCAGCTTCCCCCACTTTATGATGACATTGATGACGCTTAATCTTAAATTCACCAACGAAAACCAAACCCAGAAATAATCCCAAAGGGACCAAAAACCCAAAAAAGCAAAGCGAAAGGTGGCGTCAGATAAGAGAGAAGATAAAAAATAAGGGGAGCAAAATCTATGGGTTGTTTGTAGAGCGGAGAAGAAAGCAAGCAAGGAAGCTAAGCCAAGCCAGAAAGGCTAACGGGCCATGAGTGTGAATGATGGGGTTGTTTTATATCAAGATACATCATATCAATAAATTCTCGCCGCCTTTGCTTTTAAATCAGCCTGATCTGCTGATACATCAAAGATCTTTCTCTCTCCTTTGCCCCCCGAGGCGCAAATCTCGATGAATCTCTTGCCTTCCTTCCTTTCTCTATCTATTTTTTATACTATAGTAAAAAAGACTAATATATATCAGTGTGTACGTGATCAATGGTTGATCAGCTCCCCAGTCTGACGCACTTGTCTCTCCCCCAATCCTTCCTCTTCCAAAAATTTTCTTTCCTTTTCTCCTTTTTCTTTGCTTCTTTCGCTTGCAAAGAAGGAAATAAATAAAAGGAAAAAAAATGGGATTTTGGTAAAATGGGCAGTGTGTAGACTGCCTTTGTATAGGGAGTAGGGGGTCTGTGTTAACAGGGTGGCTCAGTAAAGACTTTTTTTGGAGCTTTTTTTTTCGCCGTTAAAGCACGCCACCTTTTTCTTTACCGTTTTGCCCTTCTTTCCTCCTCTAATTTACTTCTTCTTGCCACCGTGTCTCCCCCTTTTGTTTCGTTCTTTACACGCCCTTCGTTCCCGCGCGCGCGTGGGCTTTTGCTTTGGCTTGGCTCCCTTTTTTCCCGTTTGACGCGTAGCCCTTGTCTTTTGACTTTTGACGCCAAGCTCTTTCTCTTTGCCCTTTTTCTTTTTTACGCCTTCGGGCCGGGGATGCTCCTATGAGAAAAGTTTTACCTTGGTCGTTTCATGTAGTTCAATGAAAAGTTACCACGTGTCGAAAAAGGCTTCTAGTCCGTATGTGTCGCTTCCGCAGTGGATATTCTAGGATCTTGCTATCTTCTTCTGTCGTATACTTGTTCGGGATTAGCTGGGCACATAAAAAAGATTTTAACCTGTAAAATCAAGGTTTTGTTATTAACAATGAATAAATTATAATTATAATTTTATATTAAAAAGTATTGCATATTTTATTATAAAATATATTAAAATAAAAAATTTATTTATTTTTATTACAAATTATCTAGAAAAAAAAAACGTGACAAAAGGAATATAAAGTTAAAATTAGATAAGCAAAAACAATAGTTTTAACTTTAAACTTTTTAATGTGAATACAATAGTTAAAGTTGAACAATGATAATTATGATTATTTATATTTTAATTCCTCATAATAAATTAATTGCGTAAAGTATGATAGTACTATAGATTAAGCAAATTAATTAACAATCATGGTAATAAACCCATAATCACTTTGCCTAGATTGGCTTTTTATAGACTAACTAATTAATTAGAAGAAATAAGCAAAAAAAGCTTGTAAATGGTTAAAAGATTCTATATTGGGATGTTCAATTAATTTGCATTAATTACAAAATATTTGATAAACTCTACCGTCTTCTGTGATTTTATTTTTTCAGTATTTTTAATAAAATTGTTAAATATTTTCAAACTTTTAAATATAAATAAATAAATTATTTTAATAATTTTATTAGATGAAAGTAATTATATTAATTTTTTAATAAAAAACCTTTAAAAAAATACGATGTGAAAATAATTAAATTCACAAAAGATGATATTTACTTTTGAACTTGAAAACAAAAATTAAACTCTATATTTTAAATAAAAAATTATATATTAATTAATAAATTAAGTGTTTAAAAATATAATATTAATATTTGTTACAAAATAATATGAATAGGAATTCCATGATGCATGTTAGGTAATTAAAAGGCATGAAATTCTAGCTGTTGCGTAGGCGTTGACGTGAAAAAGACAGGAGTCAATGTAACTTTGAAAGAGGTTTACAATTTTCACCGCCTGTCACCGTTTCAGAAAAAGGCCATAAATGCAATTAATGAAAAAGAAGAAGTTCCAAGGAAACAAAGGATAGCTACTCGGTCGGCTTTGTGTTAATCAAAGGAGTACTAATGCAAAATCATGGCCGGTTGCCACAGTAAACAGTAAAAATTTAGTTCCACCGACTAGCTCCCGCTCTTAATTTTTAATCGTGTTTTTATCTTAACAGCCTTAGAATCTACTTAACATGTATATTTTGGTTATTTCGATTATACAATTTAATTACTAGTAAAAAATATTTTATTTATTTACTTTTCACTATTTTTAAAATCTCACACCGACTGAATACTCATTCGTAAAAGCATTAGAAATATTAACTCCACCGATCAGCTCCTGCTCTTAACTTATAATCTTGTTTTTGTCTTAATGGCCTTAAAGTCTACTGAACATATGTAGAAGTGAACATTAATCGATTTTGATTATTTCAATTATTATAGTGTAATTCAATCTATTCAATTATTATTTAAAAATATTTGATTAAATTTGAATTTTTAAATTGAACTAATTGAATATTCATTTGCAAAAGCATTGGAAAAATTAACTCCACCAACCAACTCCCACTCTAACTTATAATCCTGTTTCTATCTTAATAGCTTTAGAATCTATTTAACATATATAGAAGTGAATATCAACCGATTTTGATTATTTTGATTATTACAATGTAATTTGGTAAATTTAACTATTATTTAAAATTTTGTGATAAAATTAATTTTCAATCGTTTTAAAATTGAATCAACCGAATGCTTACTCGTTATAACATAAAAAATTTGAAAACTTGGTTGAAGGACAAAAATGAGAAAAGGAAATCAAGAAAATAAAAACAAATGTGCAATACTTAATCCGAACCATGTTCTTATTTATTAAAACACATTAAAATCAAATTTTTTTATTTTAAATTTCATAACAAGATAAACATTTAAAGATGGAAAAAAAAAGGGTCGATATTTTGTCAAATTATTGCTATTAATTTCTGTGCATTTATATCTCTATTATTTACTGAACATTGATTTTATTGGGAATTGGTTGAGTCAAGGTCTTTTGGACAGTAAAAGAAGCAAAAAAGAAAGACAGCTTTAGAAAGCTATAACATTAAATTTATGGAAATTGATTGATTCTCTATCTTCTTATCCTACTTTGGTCCACAAATTCTCATCACTGAATTTAAACATTTGGACGAGATTATTTACGTGACAATCCCATAAAATTAACTAGAGTCCTCTTGCTCCTAGGACCACTAAGGAAAGAAATTATTTTTGTTAACATAAGGTATATTTTATTTTAATTACTATAAACAATAATAAAAAAATATATATCATTTTATTTTGAACATAAATATCAATATTATTATTAATATCGTGAATTATGATTATATTATAAATCAATGCAAAGAAAATAAATATATATATTTTTAATAAAATGTATTTTTGACTTGATTTATCAAAAATTGTTTATCATTCATTAGGTAATCTCGAAAGGAAAACTAAACTTGGTAAAAGAAATATCATTTTATTTCAAACATAAATACGGGTATAAGTTTTATATCCGTGTACAGACTGCCTGATAAGAAAATGATACATTTTTTTATTAATTTTGTTATAATTAAAATAAATAAAAAATAATATATTTTATGCGGACGATTCAGATGGAACAATCGTTTTCATAATATGAAGTATTTTTGGCATGACTTGGGAATTAATTAGGAAAAAATAAACAAAGCGTGGTCCCCCGGGGATAGGCAGTAGGGGTGGACGGGGACCTAGCTTCGGACAAGTGCAATCACTGCTCTTAATTGGGTAATTGATGGCATGGACCAAAGCTCCTTTCAGTTCTTCCATCCTTTCCAGCTACCTTATTATTGTGCCATTCACCTCAGATTTAAAGAAGAAAAAATATAGTGCATAGACGAGAGATTTTTTTTTAATTATGAAATTACATCCGTCCATCGAAGTTATGTCATAATCAGACAATTTTCAATAAATATGACATGATTTTATTAAGATATATACAATGTTAATAAAGTGGTAGTAGGTGTGAGATTTAATGCTTATGCAATATTTACCGGTCAAAAACTTATTGTTATAGTATTCATCTCCGTCAATTTTCTGTGACTTTCATTTCATAAATTAGGATCAGAACAGGAGGACAGCAACGGCGCCATGGAGATCAGATTTGAGCTTTGCCATCGAAACCAACAGGCAACTGCAAAGAATATGTGGGCAGCTGATGCTAACCTTTAGCAAGTAAGCAGCACATGGCGTACGGTATAGCAAATAAAAAGCCGCAAAGATTAGTCCAGTGATGATCACAGGCAGTATTGCAGATTTCTTAACAGTAAGAGATGAGTAGATTTTAAGCTTATAAGTGAGAGTTTGTTTTTTTTATTTAACAAATATGTTTGTTGAAGTGAAAATATAAATTCTTGACACGTAGCTCTGAGAGAAAAGGAAAATGAGAAGGCGTGGGCATAAGCCATGATAAATAAATGATGATGGGAGGAAACTTGAGGGTCCCAAAAAGGCCTAATGGGGTATATGGTATGGATGGGTTTTTCCTTGGCAATGGCCGAGTTGTGGGGGGACCAGGCAGCGCCCTTTATGCCCAACCTCTCTTCTGTTGTGGGAGAGGGGTGGGGGGGTGGTTAGAATAAGTTTCACACAAAATAGAGTGGGATTGGTGCTCTTCGTGTTTATACAAGTTGGTAGATTCTCTCCAGGTTTTATGCACTTAAAGCTCGACATGATTGTACCAACTACTTGCCCATACATCAAACTTTGCCTCCCCTTTCTCTCTCTCCATGGAAAGACTTTACAAAACGTGGAATAAACTAAAACGGAGAAGGGGAGGGGGGGCGCACATGGATGCCATACAAAGGGGAAATGTGGGAAAATTGAAGGAAAAATGCTTCGGCTATTTGAGTTTCAAGGCTGGCCCAAAAAAAAAGAAAAATTGTTAAGACTTAGGTGTTATATACATGGATTTGGTTCTAAACTATGTATCATAATCCATATCCAACGCAATACATGTGATATGTCACCAACTTAAAAAAAAAATCATGAATTTAAATATTTACGTCATTTTAATTTGTAGATTTTTTTTATGAGATAAAATAGTGAATTTCAATAAACTAAAGAACGAAGAGATACATCTATCATTAATAATGACCAATAATGAAAATGAAATGCTTATCTACAGTGTAGTTTTAGATTTGCAAGCACACTATTTCGGAATCAATGAACCATTTCTTTTGTTTTCTCAGATTTGGTCACAGCCTTGGCCATACCCGGATCTAAAATGTTGACAAGTCGGCTATTAAGGGGTTGAAAAGAAATCCAATTTGCCCTTTCACCCTTCAAAGAAAAAAGGAAAAGAAAAGAAAGCAAAGTTTCCTGTACCAGCCTTGGTGTTGTCAATTATTGAATGATAGTGGTAATTTGACTCATTTGGTTGGCAATCAATGACCATGAAAATCCGCACAGAACATGAAGCCACTGCTAATGGTTCACTCCATTTTGGGCTTTTGGCTGTGTAGCCT